CGGCGTTCCCCCGCCCCCGTGCGCTACCAATCCTCCAATTCTTCTCTTGGGCAACTCGCAACAGGCCTCTGATTGGCTGCACTGGGACGAGAACGCGCCGGCGCTGAGGCTGTAATAGGCTGACCGCCGGCCCGCCCCCACGGGCCGCCTGCGCGGAAGGTGATTGGTCAGTGCTCCCGTCCAATCGGCGGCGGGCTGTCGAATTCAAATCGCGAGCGTTGGGCCTGCGGTCGTTGGTCTCAGTTGAGTCGTTGCCTCGGTCGGGCTCGGACGTGTGGTGGCTGCGCCCGCTCTTCACGCTCTCGTTTCTCTCTGCCCGTCCGCTGCGCGCCGGCAGGATGGCTCACAAGCAGATTTATTACTCGGACAAGTACTTCGACGAGCACTACGAGTACCGGTGAGCGGCCTCCGTAGGCCCTGCCCGCCGGGCTCCTCAGCGGACACCGGGCCGGTGGGGAACTTGGTCTCGGGGTTGGCGTGAGGCAGCCCCGGGCCCGTGCGGCTCGGGTTGGGCGTCTTTGTTAGGGGGCACAGCGGCGGCGGGGCGGGGGTCGCCGGCTCTCCCGGGTCTCAAACGTCGCCGGGCCTGGCCGGCAGCCGCCGCGGCCGTGGGCAGGGACGCGCTTCTCTGCCGTCCGCGGGAGTCCGTGGGGACCTCGGCGCCGGTCACCCGGCCCGATTGAGAGAGCCCGAGCGGCCTTGGGGCGCCTTGCGTACGAGCTAGCGGCTCCGGGCGGCGCCGCCGCTGGCGGGACCCCGGCTTCCCAGCTGCTGCCCCTTAGCGTTCCGAAAGGGCGGTGGGCTCTCCCCTCCCTGCCCCGGTCTCCGGAAGTCTTACCTTGGGAGGCAAGCCGCTTATCTCGCGGCGGTCCTCGGAGAGCTCTGTGAAGCGCGCGGTGTCTCGCAGGCCGCGTCCGGAAAGTCGGGCGTCTTTGTGGCCGAGGGCGGCTTTTCCAGTCGATCCTCTTGCCAACTGCACCGGGCGAACCGTGTAACACGTAGGCGCAGTGTTAAGTTGCTAAGCCGAGAGCCCCGCTGGCGATTCCCGGAAACTGGCCGAGTGAACTTGACTTCTGAAGCGCCTCTGCCTCCAGGTGTCCAGAGGACCCCGCAGGCACTGCATTCCGCGCCAGTAGTTAAGCTTTTCCGACTTCTGCAGGCAGGCCCCTAGAAGCACTACACCCCGCTCATTAAGGCGCTTTGTGTCTGATAACGTGCGGAAGGCAATCTTGTATCTGAAGGGGTGATTGTAATCCGCGCTAGATGAGGGCTGGCTTTAATGGGCCCGCGCCCCCTATTTCTCTGAGACAGCGGAGCTCCAGAGATGGCTCAAACCCCACAGAAGCGCAGGTGGCGGTGGTTTGTGTATAATGCAAATGACAGTTTCAAAGATGCGTATTTAAGCATGTAAGTTAAATCTTTGATTTTTTGTTTGCACTTTTAGCATTTGCAAACTTAATTTCCTGCTCGTTTTGCTAGTGCTTAGGTTCTGTAAAGGACACAGCAGTAGAGGCCTCCCTGCCCGTCTCTCAAGAAAGTCTGCCTTCACAGGAGGAACATAGGGTTTCTCTAAAGAGCTTTCGATTGTACTCTTGAGGAGTCCAAATGAAGTTAAATTTGGGTTTTGGAAATACTTTTCCTTGTAGTTGGAAAACGATGCACTTAATATAAATATAAAGGTGAGCTCTCCATGTAAGCTTGACTGTTTTAAAAGTTTCCTTTTGCAATAAGCCCTTTTGGGAGAGCTTAAAAATCCATGCACGGTCTTAAAATGTCTATGTAAATAACTTGTTGGATTGTGTAGCTTACATGCATAAAATTAAAAGTACAAAAAAGCATTACATTTCTCCAGACTAATTAACAATTAGTGTAAAAATAAAAACGGCTTTTTCATATAAGACCTTAAAATTTGGCTGCTAAAACAGCATTTCAAAAATGAGTGATAACTGGTTAAGTATTGGGAAAAATAATACAGTTCACCAGAGCCGCTGCAAATTCTGTAGAGTATGATAGTAAGTGTACATTGACTTCTGGTCATTGGGCAGTGAAACAAAATTGTCCTGGCATTCACTTGGTCTGGCAGCCATTGCCTAAAATGTAGTGAGTGAGTGGATAACAGCTTGGTTCTTATTCATGGGTTCTGAGTTCGGTTTTTCTTTGTGCTAACCATTACTGAAAATTGTAAAATTAGGGCTGAGAATTGTGACTTAAAAATTTTTTTATGGTAATAAAATATTCTTAAAGTGGGGAGAGGAGTGCAGATCTGTTTTTAAGAAATTCACAAAGCTGTAATTCTTGGGAGGATAACACTGCAAACTTCCACGCCTGCTTAAGCGGAAAAATTTTGAATGCAGAAGTGACATCCTAGAAAACTGAAGAACTGAAGTGTGTTGTATGTGCTTTTTTTTTAATTTTGAATAAAATTTCTTGAAATGGAAAGCAACTTCTGGGTATACAAGGACTACATTTACTACAAATTTACTGTTACGTAACCGGAAACCCAAGTTAACTAACCCAGGGATATGTCCACCGCATGTGTCGTGGTCCAGGGCTGCTGTGACAGCCGTGCAACCGGGCATCAGGCTGTCTGTCGTAGACGGAGAACAGTAGTTCCTGTGGCCCCTCATCACATCGCTAACATCCTAGATAAAGGAATGAGGACAAGGGTGGGGAATGTTCTTTCCGTTGGAGAAAATTCCTAGGTTGGATAATTTCTGCTTCCCCTGTTTGCCAGAGTTTGTCACATGACTGAAGCTAGCTGCAGGGGAGTGAATAAGCAATCATGACTGCAGAAAAGGCACAGAGCACTAATATTTAGCTGAATCTTTTTAACAGGCATGTCATGTTACCCAGAGAACTCTCCAAACAAGTACCCAAAACCCACCTGATGTCTGAAGAGGAATGGAGGCGACTTGGTGTGCAGCAGAGTCTGGGATGGGTTCACTACATGATTCATGAGCCAGGTAAGCTGGTTAACTAAAATAGGAGTGGTTAAATGCTTTTTAGTGTTGTTGGCATTTGGTGATATGCCAAAGGAACTTAAAGCTGACTACTTTTTAAATGACTCCAACTCCCTAGAGGGTTCAATTTTGCTGTAATTAAAAATACAGCAGGGGAGCTGGTTTATCCTCAGCAGTTACCTCCCCTATCAGAGTGCCTGGGTTCAGTTCCCGCCACTGCAGACCCAGGGAGGCAGGTGTGTTCAGTATTTGGGTTCCTGCCACCCACAAGGGAGGACCCAGATTGAGTTTAAAACGACTCAGTGTCTTCAAAGTTCTGGTTTGGAGGTTGATGCAGTTGAAGTGTCTGCATTTTCCTGTCCTCTTTTGAAAGGCTAATGTTCTCTCCACTGCACAGTTGAATAGGATACTTTAGCGCAGCACTCAAATGTGCTTTGTTATGCATATCTCGGTGCCTCAGGCTATTAAGTGCTTTGTTTCCAGATTGTCAATGTTAAAGGATTTATAATGAGCAAAATGTTAAGACTGTAAAAGTTGAATTAGATGCAACTAAAGCTGTCTTTCTATTTTGTTGGGAAAACTTAGGAAACTTTCCACTTTCTTGAGTGGGGCAGACACAAATTAAAGTTCAGGATGTCTGGGTCACAGGGCAGCTGAGGAGCTGCTCACTGTAGATGCCTGGGGCTGCGCTGCGATCCCACCAGCTCTGGTGGTTTACGCTGTGATCAGTGTGGGATCCGGCAGCTGTCCCGGATGAGATGGCTCTTCCTCCGAGATAGGTGAAGGTAGAACCAGTCTCCCACAGTAGCTGCTCTACTTAGGGACGCCTAGTTTTCAGGGGAGGCAAAACGAAAGTGTTGCAGGAATGTCCACCACGGGGTTATTCTCCACACCCTTGACAGGGGGCTGAGGTTACTTGGGTTCAGTTGGAATTTTTGTAGAGGAAATGGAGCGCAACCACACTGTACTGAAGTGATGTAAACCTTTTCTTTGCAGAGCCGCATATTCTTCTCTTTAGACGACCTCTTCCAAAAGATCAGCAGAAGTGAAGTGTGCAGGAGACGTCGGCTCTTCCCAAGTTACTGTATATGTGTATATAAGGTAGTATTCAGTGAATACTGGAGTGTACAGATCTTCATCCATGCCTGTGCGGGAGCTGTATTCTTCACAGCCAGAGCCCAGTTAACGCAGCTGCAGTTAGTTAGTTAGAGCTGTCCCCTGGCCCGTCTCCCGGATGGAAGTGCCTGGTTGACTTCCCTGTTGTGTTAAATAAAGTTTGTATGTTGCATTTACCCCGCTGGTTCCTGAGGCGTGTTTTCTCACAGCGAACTTGTGACTGAGACTGCTTTGGTTTATTTTAGCCCCCAGGGAGTAAACGTGAAAGAAATAAAGTGTGAGCTCGGTGTCAGGTGTGTGGATGTCTCCGCATGTCCCTGACTGTGTGTGTCCACTTAGCAGGAGGGTGCGCAGTGTAGAAGGCACACGCACGCTGCCTGCCCGGGGGCTTGGGGCGCTCTGCCGCCTTCTACCCACGGCGCCCCACGGTCCGCAGCGCGCCTGCCTTCCGGCCCACCTGGAAGTCTGCAAATCGGGGGTACCCACGGCCAGGCCTGGGGCTCTCAGAGGCGCCCACCTGAGGAACGTGGGGAGGGGTCCGCGCGCCTGCAGCGAGCCCCGCACCTCTGCAGGTGGCCTCTCCAGGTCACCGAAGCAGGAGGCCACACTGGTGACGCTCCAGGGACCCGAGTGAACCACGGCCGCCTTGCGATCCCCTTAGTCCTCCGGGCCTGAGCGCAAACCAGAGGGCGGAACGCGGACCCCACGTGGCGGCCTGGGCCGCCGCGCACGTCCGGCCGGAAGGAGGGGCGGAGCCCGGCGCGTTTCGGTGACGTACTTCCTGGCGCCCACCCCGGAAGGCGGAAGCGTCGCGTCGTTGGTCGGGATTATCGCTGGCTCCCCGGGCGCGGGCTCCTCCGAGCCGCCCGCCATGGCGTCGGAGGGACCGCGGGAGGCCAGAGGCGAGGTGAGCGCTCCCGGGCGGCGGTGGGCAGACGCGGGCTCACGTTGGCGAGGTGCCGTCGGGCGCGCCGCGTCTTGGGCGTGAGGCCACAGAGGGCGAGGCCGCTGACGGGGACTCGCGAGCTGCAGCGGCTGAGGAGAGAACGCGCTTCAGGCTCCTTGGTGCCCTTACACTTCGTTCCCCGCGGTACACCCTCGGCTGGGCCGCTAGACAGCCGGGCCGACGCGCGAGTTAGCCCCAGACCCCGGAATCCGTGGTTCTGAAGTTCTCACTGGAGGTGGAGCCCTTATTACGTGTCTGGAAGTTTCAAAGCGCCCGTTCCGAGGACTCGGTGAGCGGGATGACTTTCTAGCAAGAACACCGGACTCGCAGTAGTTTGCGGGGTCAAAAGCGTTGTTTCGCTCAGCTCTTGAGAGTGAAGGGAAGTAAACGTGTGTGATGTGTGTTTTGCCGTGCTAAGCACTTCCGGTGTGTTTGACGACCGGCGGTGTGCCGTCCTGAGTGATTCTTAAATAAAGCTCAGAGGTGAAATCCCTCCCCAAGATGAAAGCTCAGGAGCCTCGAGTTGGGATCCTAAGTATGGAATCGGGCTTGCATTTTACTGCCACCTGAATTGGAGGTCATTATCTTTCACTGTTACCACTTGGGGGACTTTTCCTAATTAAATAAACATTGGAGAGACACTGTTAGTAAAGGAATTCTTGTCGTTACGTGGCGGACATTGTAAAATAACATTGGGATTAGCATTTCTGCCGAGGAGAGACTTCCTTTGGTTTACTTGTGGTTGAATCTCTGTAGCCAGATTCCCCTTTTTTTCTCTTAGGACAGCGTCACGTTATCTGCAGATGTCAAACCATTTGTCCCCAAGTTTACTGGATGCAATATGGCGTGGCCAGGGTCCTCCGAAGCCTGTGTCTTCCCCAGCTGTGCAGCCACTTACTATCCAGTTCAGGAACCACCAGTGACTGAGTAGGTAGCTTTTATCTTTGTGTCTTTCCTTCCCTGATGAGTGGTGATTTAAACTCAAAAATGCCTCAGCTGTCACATTGGACGTTCTACATGTGGCAAGAGAAAATCTTCAGTCAAGAAGGGCCTGGGCTAGAAGCTTAACAACAGTGTGTGAAACGAGCTGTCACCCCATCCTTTCCCCCTCCATACCTGTTAATTTTAGGCGAAGGAAGAATGGAAGCTCTGTCATTAACAGGAAATACCGTTTTCAGGTTCATTTGTTCATGAGTTTAAACATGCATCATGTATCTAATGGGAGATGAAATGGCAGGAAGGAGAGAGAAGAGGAAAAGGTTGACAAAGGCAGGGTCAGATGAATAAACATTCTCTGCATTTTTTAAAAAGATTATTTATCTGAAAGGCAGAATTAGAGAGGGAGAGACAGAGATCTTCCATCCATTGATCCACTCCTCAAGTAGCCAAAGCAAAGATCCTGCCCAGAACATGGGTGCAGGAGCCCCATGCACCTGGGCCATCCTCCGCTGCTTTCCCAGGCGCATCAGCAGGGAACTGGATTGGAAGTGGAGCACCAGGACCAATCTGGGATGACGGTGTTCCACGTGGCCGCCTAACCCACTGTGCCACAGTACCAGGCCTGCTTGTTGTTTTTAACGGTTAACATGTTCAGATCATGTTCAGGGAAGGAGTGGAGGTGAAGAACCATAGCTGTCTCTCTGGATAATTCTTTGGACATTTCTGGGTTTTACTTCCAGCTCGTTTGCTTTATGTATGTCCTAAGGGGATGTGTTTTATAAATTTCCATTTAAATTTTTTTTTTAATTTGAGTAGAAAGAAGGCTTGTATTTTCCTTTAAATTTTGTTTTTCCTTAAGATTCATTGTCTAGATATTTACAAAATGAGTTCCACTTTTAGCTGAATAAAAATAAGTGTTCACCTGTTACATAACTCTGTAGATCTTGTTTTAACAAAGTCTACATCAGCATGTGTAAGAATCTTTTTGCTTTCAGACTACTTTTAAATTTTTTGCTGCCTGCATGATGTGATTGAGAATGGTTTATGCTGCTTATAAGTTCTGGAAATAGATTTCCAAGAATAGAAATTAGAATGAATAAGTGGTGTATTTAGGAAATGATAGAAGTTGTAGTTTTTGACAGAATTTGAAATCCTACCTTTTTGTGCTAGAATTGGTCTTTGATAGGTGTGTTACTCTGTAGAGTTTTCCAGAAGGCTAGAACCAATCCGAAGTGTGTGTAGACAGATGGATGAGGGGATTTATTAGGGTAACTGGCGCATGCAGTTATGAGGACTGAAAAGTTCCATGACAGACTCTCTATAAGCTGTAGACCCTGTATGCCAGTGGCATAGCTCAATCCAGGTCTGAAGGACTCAGAACCAGCGAAGCCAGTGATGTAATTCAGTCTGTGGCCACAGTCCTGAGAACTCTGCTGGTGGGAATCCTGGAGTTCTGATGTCCACAACCAGGAGAAGAATGTCCCAGCTTCAGGAGAGACAGGGAACAATAGCCTTTCCTCTGCTTCTTAGTTACACCTGGACCCCAGCTGCTTGGATGTTGCCCACTCACAGAGGGTGGGTGGTTCTGCTCATCCAGCAGCTCACGTGCCAGTCTTCTCAGGAAACACACGGAGAAGTAATGCCTTACCAGCTCTTGAGGTGCTCCTTAACCAGTTAGGTGGACTCCTAAAATTAACCTTTGCAATGGGAATACCAATTTTTTCTCTCTGTTTTCATCCTTTTAATTTTTTAAAAGATTTATTTATTTGAAAGAGAGAATGAGAGGCAGAGAGAGAGGTCTTCCATCTGCTGGTTCACTCCCCATTTGGCTGCAACAGCCGGAGCTTGCGCCAGTCTGAAGCCAGGAGCTTTCTACCGGTTTCCCATGTGGGTGCGGGACCCTAAGCACTTGGGCCATTTACTACTACTTTCCCAGGCCATAGCAGAGACCTGGATGGGAAGTGAAGCTGCTGGGACTCGAACCTGCGCCCATATGGGAAAATGGCACTGCAGGCTGTGGCTTTACCCAGTACGCCACAGTGCCGGCCGCATGTTTCATCCTTTTTAAAGATGAGGTTTGGCATGGGTCTCATTTGAGTTATTCCCTATCTTGAGTGTCTACACATAACAAAATACAGAAATAAACCTCACTCATTGACAAGAACTCTAAGCCATCTGCTGGATGGTATTCCAGTTACCCAAAATAAAGGTGGGAGTCATTCATATGGCTAAAGCATTGTTTTGACAGTAACATGGATAGAAACCAATCAGAGACTTAAGAACTCACAGTGCTGAGTTTAAATAAACTTTAGTTTCTTAACCCCTTTTCCAGCTTTATTTTTCTAAATTTTTTTAAAGATTTATTTATTTATTGGAAAGGTAGAGTTACAGAGAGGTGGAGGTAGAGAGGGAGAGAGAGAGAGAGGTCTTCCATCCAGTGGTTCACTCCCCCAGATTGCCACAACTGCTGGAGCTATGCTGATCCAAAGCCAGGAGCTTCCTCCAGGTATCCCATAATGGTGCAGGGGCCCAAGGACTTGGGCCATCTTCTACTGCTTTCCCAGGCCGTGGCAGAGAGCTGGATCGGAAGTGGATATCGGAGACTCAAATCTGCGTCCATATGGAATGCCAGCACTACAAGTGGGGGGGTTTCCCTGCTATACTACAGCGTCGGCCCCCTAAAATTGTTTGGTCACCAAGAAGAAAGTAGGTACACGATATTCCTACCTGGCCAGAAAACAATTAAGAAATAAAGGGGCATTAAACTGAAGAGGCGTTAGAAAGGAAAAAAGCCTTTAAAGTGGGGATGAAATGATGAGACTTCGCATTGTGTAGAATTATCTTGTCAAGTATGATTGCTCACTTGACACAATCTAAGATGCTACAGATGATGTCTACGTGGAGATCTCTTGCTGCCGTGAAAAAAAGAGTAGAACTTCCCTAACAATCCTATTTCCTCTTTCCTGCTTTTTCCGTTCCACAGCAACCTGACCATCTTTGTCTTCCCCTTCTCTCCTCTTCTCTGAAGAAGGGGATGTAACATTTTACAGACTCTTTCTCCAGGAACATCAACACTGCACTCAGAGATGCCTTGTTATTCACTTGAATTGGTTATTGAAAGACAATATGTGGGGGCAGTGCTGTGGCTAAGTAGGTTAAGCCTCTGCCCGAGGCACCGTCATCCCACCTGGGCACCAGTTCACGTCCCGGCTGCTCCACTTCCGATCCAGCTCCCCACTGATGCACCTGGGAAAGCAGCAGAGGATGGCCCAAATGCTTGAGCCATTGCACTCTTTTGGGAGACCTGGAAGAAGCTCCTGGCTTCAGATCAACCCAGCTCCAGCTGGTGGCCATTTGGGGGGTGAACCAGCAGATGGAAGATCTTTTCCCTCAGTCTCTCCCTCTCTCTGTCTGGAACTTTGCCTCAAGTAAATAAATAAAACGTTCCAGTCTCCGAAAATTTATGTTACAGCACAACACAAAGAAGTATTAATAGAGGCAGCCTGATTTATGGGATTTGCCATGTTTGGGAGGTGCTGTTTATTTACTGATGGAATGGACAGTCGGAAGGTTATGCAAACGAGAAGATTTCAGTCCCAGTGCTGTGCACAGCTGAGGACTTGGGTGGTTGTCGTAGTGCACCGTTTGTGATGGTTCAGTGCAGCATGTGCATGAGGACATTTTGTTTGGATATTATTACACACTTGCCTTCACCAGCTACCACTGAGGGGTCTGCATTAGCGGGACCTGGAATTGGGAGTGGAGCTGGGACTTGAACCCAGGTATAGTGACATAGGAAGTGGACGTTCCAAGTGGCGTCTTTTTTAATTAAAGATTTATTTATTGTATTTGAAAGGCAGAGGTACAGAGAGAAAGATCTTCCATCCACTGGTTCACTTCCCAAATGGCCGCAACAGCTGGGACTGTGCCAGGCCAAAGCCAAACCAGGAGCTTCATCCAGGTCTCCCACATGGGTGCAGGAGCCCGACTACTTGGGCCGTCTTTCGCTGTCTTCAGACACATTAGTTCCCTCGATCAGAAGTCGAGCAGCTGGGACTCAAACCGGTGCCCATGTGGGATGCTGGCACTGCAGGCCGGGCTTAATCTACGCAACAGTGCCGCCACCCCACCCCCTCAAGTGGCATCTTAATCACTAGGCCAACACTCAATCCTGGTTAGACTTTTTTTTTTTTTTTTTAATTTATTTATTTATTTGAAAGGTAGAATTAGAGGGAGAGACATAGACAAAGAGGTCTTCCATCTGCTGGTTCACCCCAATGGCCACAACAGTTAGTTCTGGCCAGGCTGAAGCTGGGAGCTTGGAACTCCATCCCAGTTTCCCACGTAGATGGCAGAGGCCCAAGTGCTTGGGCCATCTTCTGCTGTCTTCTCAGGCACATTAGTAGGGATCTGGATTGGAGGTGGAACAGCCGGGACCCAAATGGGTACTCACATAGGGTGCCGGTGTTGCAGGCAGCAGCTTAACCTGCTGTGCCACAATGCCAGCCCCCTGAATAGGTTTTTAAGGAAGAGAAACTTTACAGCTTGAGTGAGATTTACACTGGAAAAAAAAGAGAATACTTAAAAAGAGAGACTAATTGAAAGAAAAAAAGCCCATGATTGCCCTTGTGGGGAAGATGTTCTGATGATGTCTGGTTGCATATCTGGGAAGAAGTGTGGGTTCATTCATGAGAACAGAACCTAGAAGTGGGTCTGCTTTGGGTATCACATGTTAAATATAGGGTTTATATGTTTTGAATTGGGAAAATATAAAATATAAATGATCTGTAAGTTGGAGATAGAGGCCTAGAGTTGTTGAAGGTGGTGTGAGAGGTTGGACTCAGAATGAGTCCAGAGGGTTGGGTAGGGATCATGCAGAGGAACTGATAGAGGAGTAGCCTCGGAGGGGGCTGGTGAGAGCAAGGAGAGGATAGGTTCACAGTCCAACCCAGTGGAGCTTTGCAAGTCATGGGATGCTGGGAAAAACAGCAGAGGCTGGCAAGAAGGAGGTCCTGGGAGGGCAGCATGTTTGGCACGGATGTGTGGGCCAGTGAATATAAAAAAGGAGCGGGCTGCCACTGTGGCAGAGTGGGTAAAGCCACCGCCTGCAGTGCTGACATCCTGTATGGGCTCCGGTTCAAGTCCTGGCTGCTCTACTTCCAATCCAGCTCTCTGCTATGGCCTGGGAAAGCAGTAGAAGATGGCCCAACCCTTGGGTTCCTGCACCCATGTAGGAGACCAGGAGGAAGCTCCTGGCTCCTGGCTTTGGATCGGCGCAGCTCCAGCTGTTGCAGCCAACTGGGGGAGTGAACCAGTAGGAAAAAAACCACACAGGGAGCTCTGTGGGCGTCCATCATCTCTACTCACATGGCATCTGGAGTTGTCTACACAGGCCATTAAAAGGCATGTCAGTCACTGGTAATATTTTCTATTCTGTGTTGCCTTCCGAGTGGCAAGAAGGACCAGCGCAGGGAAGAAGCCCACAGGACTCCTATCCGAAGTGGAAACCTCCATTGTGTCTGTTGACCTATAGACGGGTACCAACGGCTTTTCAGACCACCTTTGGATCCTGTGTCTCTGTTCTTGTTTAGCTAAATTTCATTATCTGTTCACATGTCCACCTTTTGGACTTGGGACACTGTTTTTCACTTTTGTTTCTACCAGTTTATCTTTGCCCGCTTCTTTTTGTCGAGGAACACATTCTTCACCTTCACCTGACACTTGCCTCCTGTGAGATTTTTTTTGAACTCCAAACTCTGTTGAGTGTGTAGGTAGCAGGGACGAAGCTGTGGCTGTCCCTTCTGCTCTAAAAAGAGCTAGTTCTCAGTGCTCTGTCTGCAAGCGTTCTGTGCTAGGTCAGGCGTTCTGTGGGGGCAGGAAAAGGTCAGTAAGAAGAGTTTGATGTGATTTTTAATTAAGAATACTTGTATTTAATTGCTAGAATTACTCACAAGTCAAATATTTCACAAGATCTTAATGCATTAAAAAATACTATGAACTAGTATACAGTGATACAAGGCAGTGCATAGTGAAGTACTGAATGGAAGTGAAAGCAGTGTTCATTCTTGTTGTGTGATGGATAGAGCTTACCCATGGTAAGTCCCCTGCTTAGTGGGTGTGGTTTTCTACAGCAGATTACAAATATAGTTTCTAGAAGGTGGTGCCTCTGCCTGTGTCTCCTGACAACCAGATAGTTTAAGGATCATAATAGGATCTTTCATGAGTAGCTTTGGGTTTTCCTGCCTTCCGGTATATCAGTACACTGTGGTACAGCTCTGGAATGCAGAGGTGATGGTTCATATTTTAACTCGGCTGCCTGGGATTTTGTCATTGTATCAGCTTTCATTGGAAAATGTTTGAAACCTTTAGTCTTATTACAAGTTTGCTAAAAGAATAAATGTTAAATTTGGTTTTGGTTTAATGTGGCAGCTTGAACAAACTGAAGCATTAGGGGGCTGGCGTTGTGGTGCAGCAGGTTAAGCCACTATCTGTGACACTAGCAGCCTATGTAGTGCTGGTTCTTGTCTGCTCAACTTCTGATCCAGCTCCATGCTAGTGCGCCTGAGAAAGCAGCAGAAGATAGCCCAAGTACTTAGGCCCCTGCCTCCCATTTGGGAGACCAGAATGGGATTCCTGGCTTCTGGCTTCGGCCTGGCCAGCCCAGCTTTTGAGGAGTGAACCAGCTGATGGAAGTTCTCTCTGTGCATGTGTCCCTCTGTTTCTATAGTTTTGGCTTTCCAATAAATAAATAAATCTTAAAAAACAAAAACAAAATAGAACAGCAGTTTTCAAAGATGAGCCTTACCAGCAGGGGGTGTGGTTCCCTGCACAAGGGTGTGCAGCATTCGCCTTGCTCTCTGGCCCTGGGAGTAGGCAAAGCACTGGGTGTCATGCTGGGCTTGGGGTAAGGCAGGCTGCAGAAGATAGCCGCAGCGTGAGGCCTTAGGAGGGGTCCCTGCAGACCAGTGGGCAGCCCCTCATTGGAGGTCACTGAGAGAGGTGTTCCTGAGCGCTTGACAGCAGGTGGGAGAGTACAGAGTTGCTGGGACATCTTCAGGCTCTGCTGATATTTCTTAGGGACTCCAACTCAGTGATGTGGTTTGAGTAGGATATGGCTCCCCCGCTCAACATAGATTGTTAAATCCCATGCATTGTTGGTCCTAAGAGGGTGGAAACCTAATCCGTATAAGTGTTTGGAATATGGAAATAGTGGGAGATCTTGGGTCATTGGAAGAGTGGCCTTGGACAGTAATTCTCACAAAAGGATTGGTTACATAAGCCTGAGTTGGGCCCAGGAGCTCACTTTCTGGCTTGCCATGTGATCCTTCTTCCACACAAACTGTACTGTTGCTGGCCTCACCAGACAGCCAAGCCATTGAGGCCTCTCTGGTCTTGGACTATGATGCATCTCTAAATCCACGAGCCTGAATAAACCTTTTGTTACAATGACTAACAGCTGGCAAAAATAGAAATATGTCACCATCTTTTTCAGCAAGGTGAGAAGGAAATGCCCAGAGGTTTCATGCGACTTTTTTTTTTTTCTTTTTGACAGGTAGAGTTAGAGAGACAGAGAGGTCTTCCTTCTGTTGGTTCACTCCCAAAATGGCTGCCACGGCCGGCGCGCTGAGCCCATCCGAAGCCAGGAGCCAGGTGCTTCTTCCTGGTCTCCCAAGGGGTACAGGGCCCAAGCACTTGGGCCATCCTCCTGCCTTCCCGGGCCACAGCAGAGAGCTGGCCTGGAAGAGGAGCAACCAGAACAGAACCGGCGCCCCAACCGGGACTAGAACCCGGAGTACCGGCGTCGCAGGTAGAGGGTTAGCCTAGTGAGCTGTGGTGCCGGCCTTGACTTTTTTTTTTTTTTAAAGATTTATTTATTATTTATTTGAAAGACAGGCGAGGTGGAGTTGGGGGTGGGGGAGGGATTTTCCGTCTGCTGGTTCATTCCCCAGATGGTCACAACAGCAGTCTGGGCCAAGAGGAAGCCAGGAGCTCCACCCATGTCTCCCACTTGGGTGGCAGGGACTCAGGTACTTGGACCATCTTCCATTGTCTTCCCAGGCACATTTGCTGAAAGCTGGATCAAAAGCCAAGTAGCCAGGACTCAAAAGTTATAAGCAGCAGCTTAGCATGTGTGTCACAACACTGGCCCCCATTAGCCTTTTAATTAGGAATACCTGAATGCTAGAGTGAATGATCTCAAAGTCTTAAATATCAAAAAGTTTAAATGAGTTTGTTACAGAGCATTAAGATCCTTAGTTCTTGCTATGAAATATGCAACAAAAATCTACACTTTTTATTTAGACAGAAAATCTATCCTGAAGAAATGACCTTTGGAGCTTCAGCTTTCCCCTCTCAGTATTTATCTTCTGAGATTACTCTTCATCCGTATGCCTATTCTACTTACACGCTTGAGTCTACACAGAATGTTTGCTCAGTGCCTGGCTCCCACTATGAATATAACCAGCCCAGTTGTTACCCCGGTTTTCAAACGATGAGGCCCCCTAATGAGCACATGTGCCTCCTCCCGCAAGACACAAAATCTCTGTTTAAGGTGAGTAGATGCTGTGGTTTCATCGTGTCCTTAGCATTTAAATTGCGAAGAATTGATACGGTTTTGTATGATATTTAAACATTACTTATTTCTTGTGGTATCCAACCTTTTTAAACACCTGATCTAATCTTTTAAATGATTGAATTATGAGTACTTATTAATTTGGTGTTTTAAACATTTATAGTGATAGTTTTCTTATTTCCTGTTTCATCTTTGCTGAAGAAAAAAAGCTATGATGAGAAGAAAGTGTATAATGAGGAGAAGTTTGAGAGTAAAAGGGCTGATGCAACGAGATCGTCTGAGATGAAATCAGCTAAAGGTTCACGTTTACCCATTCATGCTGAGAATAGTTTGAAATCAGGTAAAAGTTACAGCAGACTCTATAGTGTAACGTGATATGCTTCAGAAACATCGCTGCTCTTTGTTCTGCTGCTTCTGTGGACTTGTTCTTTGAGATTGCTTTGGAAAATGAGAGCTGGAGCCTGGCACAGCCAAAGGTGTCAGACTTCCTGTGGGATTCTGGAGGACTTGCCCCTGAGGCCGGGGGTTACAGGGTGGTGCCTGTTGTATATGGACTCAGCATTGCCCTTCACCAGGTAGCACCTTGTTTAACGCAGAAAGAACCTGTCTGAGGGCACATTGCAAGCAGTAATAACGACAGGCTTCCAAGCACATCCTTGAATGGCAGTGGGTCACGGCCATCCCCTTTGTACCGTGTTTGACCGTATTCATCCCTGACATGACGTGTCTGGTGTTTTATTGGGAGGTGTTGAATAGGCATAGGAGTTTATCGCCTCTCCTTTTAATTCTTTACTTCCAGAAGGATATGGTAAGCGAACAGACAGGAAATCCAGAATCATCGCAAAAAGTGCATCTACCTCCAAACCTGAGTTTGAATTTAGCAGTTTGGATTTTCCTGAACTACAGGGTCCAGGGACCAAAAACATGCCACAGATACAAAAGCAGCTCAAATGGGGACCTCTCTGCTCCGCCTCTGCTGACATTTCTGTTCTCGGAGAAGTGGGCAGACCAGCTGCAGTGGTGTCAGAGGTGAGTTAAATGCCTTTTGAGTTTCCTCACTTCAGTACCATGCCTTCATCCTGGGAGGTCCACCTTGCTGGGAAGGAAGTACTGGGGGAGATCTTTCAGCATTTAGCTGACCTTCTCTGTTGGAACTGTTGACAATGAGGCTGTAGCTCCTAGTACAGGGTTTTTTTTTGTTTGTTTGTTTGTTTGTTTTTTTTTTTAAAGAATCACTCTCCCCCTGAGGCACTGTAACACCTTCCAGCTACCAGATGTATAAGCTACCAGATGTAGCTGGAAGGTGTTATAGTGCCTCAGGGGGAGAGGGTTCCAGCAGAGTCTAGCTCTTCTGGCAGTCCACTTTGAATATGCCACTTGTGGCACTGCATTCTGAAAGCACAATTCCAACTTATGGAAAAGGACATTTTTAAAAAATGGGGTTAGCGGGGCCCACACTGTGGCTCAGTAGACTAAACCTCTGTCTGTGGTGCCAGCATCCCATATGGGTGCCAGTTCATGTCCCGGCTACTCCTTCCAATCCAGCTTTTGCTGTGGCCTGGGGAAACAGTGGAGGCTGGCCAAAGTGCTTGGGCCCCTGTACCCGTGTGGGAGACCCAGAGGAAGCTCCTGGCTTTGGATCTGCCCAGCTCCGGACTTTACGGCCAATTGGGGAGTGAACCAGTGGATGGAAGACCTTTCTCTCTGTCTCTCCCTCTCTCTGTAATTCAATCAATCAATCTTCTTAAAATATGGATTAGTAATATTTAAAACTGCATAGTGCAATTGCTGAATTTTCCAGGCTTTTTATCCACATCTCTGTCTTGTCTTGCTAATGATACTGCAAATTAAGCAAAACATATTTTTGTAGGTGCTTTCAATTTGCTGCCTTAATCATTTTAAATTACATGATATTCAATATTTGGTTTCAAACTTTCAGTCCATCAAATCTTGAGACATTTTCCTCAGACAGGTTGGTTTGAGACCTCCAGGAAATAATGGTGTCAGGTGAGTGGTCCCCAAGACAGCTTCTGCCAGATTTCTGCTGAAGGGCGAGGTGGTACACCTGTCAGCATGAAGGCAAGGAAGGAGAAGAAAGAGAACAGCCACTACCCATTCATTTGCCATTTTTGAGGAGGAAAAATTGATTTACTTTGAAAGGTGAGATTTCCTGTCCACTGGTTCACTCTTGTAGCAGCTGGGGCTGGACCACGCCCCCAGGCCAAAGCAAGGAGCCCAGAATTCAGTCTGGGTCTCCCACGTGAGTGACAGGGACCAAATACTTTAGCCATCACCTGCTGCCTCCCCAGGTGCACGTTAGCAGGAAGCTGGGATTGGAAGTGGAGCTAGGAGTCAAACTCAGGCGCTGGAATATGGGATGGAGGTGTCCCGAGGGGCACCCTGACTGCTGTGGCAGATGCCTGCCCTGAGGTGCCTGTGCTGTACTCACACAGACCCTTTGCACCACACACTGCCGTTGTGTGCCTTGTGCTCGGTTTGAGGATTTCTGTCTTCACAGAGGAGCAAGCATTACAGGCTTGTGTTCATAGTGGGCATTTTGATGGTTGTTTTGGACTTTAGTATGTGGCCTGGTTAATGATGGCTTTCACATTCGTATGGGAGCACTGCAGCTGTAAGAACCGCGGAAGTGTTTGAGCTGACCTGGAAAGCTGTCTACGTATTGTTGGAAGTCACATGTTATTCGGAGACTTGGCTTTGGCCCAGTCCAGCCCTGGCCATTGTAGGCATTTGGGGGGTGAACCAGTGGATGGGAGCATGCTCACTCACTCTCTCTTTCTATTCTGTCTCCTCTCTCCTCCCTCCTTGCCACTTTCTCTACCCCTGTCCCTTTGTTAAAAGATTAAAAAAAAATTGCACATTTTTATGACATTGAATAGAAGAGTACTACTTAAGCTGTAGACAGTAGGTGATTTTTTTCCTCTAAGGAATACGATTTTATGGAAATGACTTAAGTTTTACATTTTGAACTTGTGTATATAGGAATCTTAATTAGCATGTATATTTGCATGTCTTAAGACTATTAAGGGAAGCTATATTTAAGAAGAAAATGGTGGGGCTGGTGCCTTGGCTCACTTGGTTAATCCTCCGCCTATGGCGCCAGCATCCCATATAGGCGTCAGGTTCTAGTCCCGGTTGCTCCTCTTCCAGTCCAGCTTTCTGCTGTGGCCCAGGAGAGCAGTGGAGGATGGCCCAAGTGCTTGGGCCCTGCACCCATATGGGAGACCAAGAGGAGGCACCTGGCTCCTGGCTTCGGGTCGGCATAGCGCCAGCCAAGGCGGCCATTTGGGGAGTGAACCAATGGAGGGAAGACCTTTCTGTCTCTTTCACTGTCTATAACTCTACCTGCCAAAAAAAAAAAAAAAAACCAGAGTAAGTGGTTAATTTTAATTTAAACTAATAAGAAAATAATTGCTTTGGCTTTTTTAAAAATTTATTTCTTAGAGCAGTTTAGTTTCACAGGAAAATTGAGAGGAAGGGATAGATATCCCATATTTCCTCTACCAACCCCTCAGTCTCCCCCATTATCAACATCCAGCCACAGAATGGTCCATTTTATACGACTGATGAACCTCCATTTACACATTATCACCTGGTGCATAGTTGGGGTTTGGTGTCATCCTTGGTGTGTGTATTCCGAGTTTGGGCACCTGTATAATGCTATCTGTCCACTGTTCCAGATCATAGAGAATAATTTCACTGCCCAAACACCCTCTTTGCTTTATGTGTTTATCTCTTCCCCCCACCCCTGCCAACCAGTGATCTTTTACTCTGTCTGTAGTTTTTTACCTTTCCCAGAAGGTCAGAGTTGGATTAATACAGTATGGAGCTTTTTCACATTGGCTTCTTTCACTTACTAATGTGCATTTCAAGTTCCTTGATGTCTGTGTCATAGTTCAGTTTTTCTTTAGCACTGAAACAGTATTGTCTGGATGTACCATGGTGTATTCATTAATCTGCTGAAAGATATTTTGGTTGCTTTTGGATTTGGGCAGTTAAAAATAAAGCTAGTAGAATCATCTGTATGAAGACTTTGTGTGAATGTACACGTTTCCCACTCCTTTGGGTAAATGCCAGTGAGCGCAGTTGTTAGGTCATATGTACGAAATTGCCAGATTATGTTTCAAAGTAGCTATACTATTTTGCATTCCCACCAGCAGTGAATAAAAGTTTTTGTTACTCTACATCCTTGCCAGAACATGACTTGTCTGTGTCCTGGATTTTGGCCCAGGCCTTTCTGATAGGTGTGTATCTTATTTTTAATTTGCTGTCCTCTCATGATATCTGATGTGCTTGCCTTTTAGGGTGAAACAGTGGTGAAAAAGAATAATCTAAATGAATCTGTAACTGATGATGCTGCTACCAGTGTTCCTTCATGTACAAGAGGTAAGAGTGGCTATAAAGTATTTTAAAAATGAATTGTATGTTTTCTAAGTTCATTTTTAATTCCATTGCAGTCTAGATAATTTTTGTTTTAAAGCCTTCTTTAAGGCAGCTACTGGATTATTGATGAACAGACATCAGTGTTAGTTTAGGAGATGAAAATGAGTAAATGAGGCTCCACAATAATGTGCAAGGACTAAAACCTAAGAGGTAAGAATTGTAAATGAAATGTATATCCAATTAAGTGAGAATTTTATAAACTCAGAAATGAGTATTTTTCTTTAGTATTAACTGTTCCTATAAATTTTAGTCTCAAGACCCCTCAATTTCCCTAAAATCAAAGTTCCAAAGGGCTTCTGTTTATTTGGTTTATACCTGTCCATATTTACCATATTTTGAAGTTAAAATAGAAATTTTAAGTTCTAATTTGCTTAAAAATAATAAGTGCATTGTGTTTTAACATATTTATGAAAAATTTTTTTCTGAGCAGAAAAGTTTTAGTGACGCAAGCAGCCTGGCTTCCCAGTTTTGCAGCTGTTTCTCATCTGGCTCTGTAGATCTGCTTTGGCATTCAGCTACTCCACTGTCTCATAGCATGCAGCCTTTGGTAAACTCTGGCTCATTTGAGACAGAATTGGGGAGTCAGTTGACACATTCCTACTATCAGGAAAACTGACTTTGTGTACCTCTGAAAGGGTCCTAGAAATCCCAGGCCCTGCTCTGAGGACTGCCAGTCTGTCCTATCCTGGCCAGGAAGTAATACAGAGGTACATCAGGAAGTTCATAATAGTTTATTTTGGCATAAAAATTTTTTGAAGTCATGTGTAATTTTATTTTATTTATTTTGAAAGAGTTACAGAGAGAGGGAGAGACAGGTCCTCCATTCTGCTGGTTCACTTCCCAAATGCCTGCAACAGCCAGAGCTGAGCTGTTCTGAAGCTAGGAGCCAAGAGCTTCCTCCTGGTCTCCCACATGGGAGCAGGGGCCCAAGCACTTGGGCCATCTCTGTTGCTTCCCAGGCCATAGCAGAGAACTGAATAAGAAGAGGAGCAGCCGGGACACGAATTGGTGCCCATATGGGATGCCAGCATCATAGGTGGAGGCTTAACCTATGCCACAGTGCCAGCCCCTCTCTTAGTATTTTTTTTTTCAAATTTACTTATTTATATTATTTATTTAAAAAAGCAGACAGGCAGATAGAGATCTTCCTTCTAGAGTTCACTCCTCAAATGTCTACAATAAGGCTGGGCCATGCTAAAGCCAGGAGCCAGGAACTCAATCCACATCTCCAGTGGGAGTGATAGAGACCCAAGTACTTGAGCCATTACCTGCTGTCTCCCAGGCTGTACATTAACAAGAAGCTAGAGGTGGAAATGGAGCCAGCACTCAAGCCCAGGCACTCTGATATGGGATGCTGGCATCTTAATTGCTGTGCCAATTGCCCACCCTCATTTTAACATGAACTTCTTAAAGTATTCTCATATATTCAGGCAGAGTTCTACAAATTGTGCTTTGGATTTTTTTTTTTTTTTTAATTTATTTGGAAGAGAGGGAGAGACAGAGAGAGAGAGGTCCTTCATCTGCTGGTTCACCCCCTAAATGGCTGCAACAGTCAGGGCTGGGCCTGGTCAAAGCCAGGAGGCAGGAACTTTTTCAGGGTCTCCCATGTGTGGCAGGGGCCCAAGCACATTGCTTTCCCAGGCACACCCATCAGGAAGGTGGATCAGAGTTGGAGCAGCCAGGACTCAAACCGGCGCCCATTTGGAGTGCTGGTGGTGCCTTAACTCGCTATGCCACCATGGTCCCTGGACATTTTTTTAGTGACTAGTTCTAACAGGAGATCCAAATCTATCTTAGTATATTTTCTTTTACATTGTCATGTTTGATAGTATGTGACTCAGTCCAGATCTTCCTTCCCAAGCTGCTCTGAGTATGCACGGCTCTGAAGTGAGAAGAGCAATCTGTCTCACCTCCTACTGGGAGCTAGAGGCTGCTGACAGGTGGCCACCTAACCAAGTCCTAATGGCCGTCCTTTGTTTTGTCTGTATGTAGAGTGTCATGGCTACCTAAGGAATAGTGTAGTGGCCTGTGTTTAAAAGAAAGAAGGAAATTACCCATTATTGTGGTAGCCGAAGTCTAATGATCTTTGACTTCTGATGTTAAAGGGACACATCAAGGTTAGTAGGGCCAAAATTGGATCTTCAGCTCTTTAAATCTATGTGTTTGCCATGTAATGCTGTGGATTGTTTTTTAACCAAAGCTATAGGTTGTTTTCCTACCCCTATAGCCCAGTTTAAAAGACCAGATTCTAGGAAAGTCAATTAACCTTACAAGTTGAAAGGAGAAATTGAGCATGCCTGCTCCAAGAGGAAAACAAGTCTATGAACACTGTGGTCTCCAAGGGATGTTGGAACAACAGCCTAAATTTAGTTATGCTCTGAGCAGTTACCTCACGTAATGCATGTGGGTAACTATGACATTTCTCTTTTCCTGTTGAGATTGCTCAACAATTTTGGTTGTCTTTGAGCAGAGTTGTCTTGGACACCAATGGGTTATATTGTTCGGCAGACATTATCTACAGAACTGTCAGCAGCCCCTAAAAGCGTTGCTTCCATGATAAACCTAAAGACCATTGCTTCGTCAGCAGATGCTAAAAATGTTAGTATGTCGTCTTCCGAAGTTTCATCTCCGGATCCTTCCTACAGCAAAGAGAAACATGCTGTCCATCCTACTAAAAAGGTACGTGTCACTGGTGAGATGAGCGTGAGCTGGTTGCCAGGGGCTGGGGCTTGTTTATTGACAGGTGCAGAGCTCCAGTTTTTTGCAACAGAAGAACAGCTCTGGAGATGGATGATGGGGTGGTTGCACGATAGTGTAACTGTGATTAATGCCAGTAAACCACACACTTTAAAATAGTTAAGATGGTAGGTTTTTTTGTCCTGTGTAGTATTCCATAGTTAAAAAAAAATTCGAGAACAAAGATACACGTCACTTTTTTTTTTTTTAAGATTTATTTATTTGAAAGGCAGAGTGGCAGAGAGAGAATCTTCCATCTGCTGGTTCATTCCCCAAATGGCTGAAACAGCCAGAGCTGGGCCAATCCAAAACCAGGAGCCGGGAGCTTCAGGTCTCCCATGAGGGTACAAGGACCCAAGGACGTGGACCATCTTCTGCTGCTTTCCCAGGCGCATTAGCAGGGAGCTGGTTCAGAAGTGGAGCAGTCGGGACTTTAACCGTTGCCCATGTGGGATGCCAGAGCTACACACCAGGGTTTTAACCCACTAGGCCTCCGCGCCAGCCCCTACACATTACGTTTTGATTATGTTGGTCCTCTGCTAATGGATAATCCCCTCTCCATCATAACTGAAAGTGCTTCAATTTATTCAAGTTTAGTAGCCCCTTTAGTGTGAAGTGCTTGGGGCTGGAAGTGTTTCAGAGTCTGAAGTTTTTCAGATTTGGCAGTATTTGCACAGGGTTTCCCTGTTGAGGATTCCAGATCTCAGAGTTCTGGTAGCAGACTACTTGTAATTGAACTCCACATTTGTGATCCTCTGATGTATGTTACTAGTTTTTATTTATTGCAATTTATTTGCCTGCTACAGGAGCTTATCAGAATAGATCCTATTTCAGAATAAATTTTTCCTCATAAGTTTAAGTAATTTTAAGCTCTTAAGATCATTTTTATAAAGATTGTTTTTTCAAGGACTTTTTTTCATTGATCTAGATGTTAAGTTTCATATGTATATTATTTGAGGATGAAATGTGGTCTTGTTTAGTGTCATGGTTTTCTATCTTTCAATCATTTCCCATCTTTCTGAATATGAGGATACTTTTAATATCGGAAAATGCTGTTAGCCCACCCCACATGAGTGGTAACTGCATTTATGAAAATGTAATGCTGACAGCTACAGCAGAGTCCTGCATGTGCTGTTCCTCACTGCTCAGTGTTTGATTTGAGACACAGTGGCAAGTGTGCATCCAAGACCCTTGCTCCGTGCACACCCTGAGCTTGGCTCTTGGAGCAGCCTTAGTGCCTTTCTCTGGGCTGCTGTTGTGCCAGGCACATACTGGACCACAGCCAATACTGTCTGTTCTTCACTGAAGCTGCCAAACTGCTCTCTGAGAGCCTGCTTTGTTGATAGGCAGTACACAGTCTAGGGTGATGGATTTTGTTTTATTTCTCTAGAATCTTTTTCTTAAATTATTTTATTATAATTGTAAAAAGTTTTTTGTGAAAATTCTAAAATTAGAATAAGAAAATTAAACTCTCCTGTGATCTTGCAGCCTAGATGGTTTGCATTTCACACAATTGAAATTATAGTAGTGTAGTCATAATGCTTTTTTTGCTCTAAAACTTCCTGCGTAGGAATTTTATTATGGAAGTAATAAATGTAGCATTACAAGAACCCAGTGCTGGGAAAGATCCTCTCCCACCCATCAGGAAAGCCTGCATTAGTAGATAAGTAGTCTGCTCTGCAGCCTGTCTGAAGCTCACAGGTGTACAAATAGGAGTTTCTTTTGTTTTGGTGTAAAAAAAATTTTTTTAACAAGATATGCTAATTGTATACCCAGTATCCTTAAAATTTGTCTTTTTCAATGAATCAAATATGGACAGCCCCTCCAGGTCAGTGGACAATCACATTCTGTTTAATAGCAGTTGAAGCTCTTACCCCTTAAGGGTAAATTCGCACTAGGGTAAGGCAAGGCCCAAAATATGAAAGTCCTTGGGCAGGCATTTTGGGGCAGCACTGGTTAAGTTGCCATTTGCAATGCTGACATTCTGTATCCTGCTGCCTGTTAGAGTTCAGGCTACTCCACGCTTCTGATCCAGCTCCCTGTGAAATGTTCAAGCTGAAGGCGGCCCATGTACTTGGGTTCCCAGTATACACATGGGAGACCTGGATGGAGTTCCTGGTTTCTGGGTTCAGCCTGGCCCAGCCTTGGCTATTTCAGCTATTTTGGGAGTGAACCAGCAGATAGAAGATTGATCTCAATCTCAATATCTCTCTGTTTCTCGTCTCTCTCTCTCTGACTTCTCCTCTGTCTACTCTGCCTTTCAAACATATATGACCCTGCCCTCTTAGAACCTCTGTTCTAATGGAGAGAGGATAAAAGTATGCAGACAACATGTCAGAGAGTAGTTAGCGCTCTTTAGAGAAAGTTAAGATGGAGAATAGGAGAAGGGTTAAGTAGAGGGGAGGTGACTTTTAGCCAAAAAGAGCTAGCAGATGTAGCCTACTTAAATTCAGGTATAAGCATTAAGCCAAAAGATCCTGAGGCCAGTCACGTATGCCCTGATTAGAAAGGCCAGGGACTGAGGTGCCTGCGGGAGTAGTGAGATCAATTAGCAGGTCTGGGGTGAGCCTAGTCATTTAACTGGTTGTGGACTACAGGGCTGATTCGGATTCCCAGGCTCATCAGATTTAGAGACCACTGGACAGTGCTGACAAATGGCACAGCCGGATTGGTGAGCACACTCAAGTTGGCATAGGATCATTAACAACATGATTTTCTCAAGCTGAAAACCAAGTTATATCCAAGTATACCAATTTTCAAAATGAATTGTGTGTTAGGCATTTAATTTTGCTCTGATACATGATATGAAACAGTCTCTTAAATGCCCTAAAAACTGATGGTTTTTGATTTGTGTTTTGTTCTAGTCCAAAGCATCACAAGGTGGCGACCTTGAACAAAATGAGTCCTCAAGAAAAAATAAGAAAAAGAAAGAAAAGTCTAAGTCAAAATATGAAACCCTGACAGTTCAAGAGCCGCCAAGGATTGAAGTAATGTTGCTATTTATAGTGTGACACTATAAATGTGTCTTAAAAGCAGTGTGGCTTCATGCTGGTTTCGTAGGTGAAAATCTCAACATTTTCTGAATCCTTTTCCTACTGCTAAAGAAAATCGTCACCCATTGTCTTCATCCTTTGATTGAGGCTTCCTAGCCATCCCATAGCAGACGTGCAGGGGACATTTGAATGAATGAATGGTGTAAAGACAACCACTTTGGTTGGAACTTAATAGTGTGTGTGCCACTTTGCTAACATTTCCCCTGTGTTCTCTGCCTGTTGTTTTCCTTGCTTTTGCAGGGCCTCCTTTTCTATCTAGAACTCTTACTGCAAAGTGCTTCACTACAAAAAGCGATTTAGAATGTCATAGATTTGTTGTAAACTCCGTTCAGGAGAATTGCAGGAACTTCTCATCCTGTGATGCTCCAAGAATGTCCCTGGACTCAGGAGCCGGCCTGGGTTCTGACGACATTTCTCATAGGCCTAGTGGTCTCTTCACTCTGTCCTAACACATCCTAACTGGGTGGCCTGGCTGCTTGTGCAGGCACACAAGTCTCAGGTGCTGTCCAGGTGTCAAGCTCAGGCCCACACTGGGCATTCCTGCAGCTCTGGCTGGGATGAGGGTGGCAGGGCCCCAAGCTCTTGGAACATCCACTGGAGAACTGTGAGGGTGGCAGAGCATTATGGTTTGGGTCAATGACTAATTCCTATTTCTGCCCCATATTTTCCATGTAACTTTTCCCAAATCACCTAAAATGTTGACAGAATTTCAAATTTTAAATGGTTTAAAAATGACTTTTAGTAGCCTGTGTTCAGCACAAATGATAGAACATTTATTGTTATTATCTGTTGCATCTATATTTGATGGTTTTTCTGTTGAAAAACTTAGTCTTTGGAAGGACAGGTACTTAAATACTCATACCACGATGATTTAAGGTCAGTTTTATAAATTTCTCAGGTATACCAAGAGTGTTGGTGGCACTCAACTTTTCCTGGTAACAGGGGTATTAGAACTGTGGTCTTTATAGATTTGCTCTCAGAATCAGATAAACAGGAGCTTTTATGGTAAAGAGTTTCGTGCTGTTTTAAGTTATTTTGAGAACTTTTATATAGGACCTTATTAAAAAGAATATAAGCAAGGAGAAGGTTGCATGTGGCATATTTGCATTCTTGTGATTAACAGAGAGCTAAAGAGGTGTGTGGTTTACTTAGGATGCGGAGGAGTTTCCCAATCTGGCAGTTGCATCTGAGAGAAGAGACAGAGTCGAGTCACCGAAACTTCAATCCAGGCAGCATCCACAGGTAATTTTTAGATTGAAACCACAGTTGCTTAAGGCCTAACTTTTCTTGCCGAACTCTTGAGAAAAATTACCCTCCTGCCCTCCCACATGGGAGACCTGGATGGAGTTCCTGGTTTCTGGGTTCAGCCTGGCCCAGCCTTGGCTATTTATGTCTCAGGGCACCTGGAAGAGTTCCAGACGTCTGTGTTGAGATAGTAGTGGGCTTTTTTGCCTTTTTTTTTTTTTTGCCCTTTTTTTTTGGTTCATTTCTTCAAAGGAGAGTGGCATCTCATACATTGAACGGAGTTGCTTTTAAGCTGAAATGTTTTATCGCTTTTGTATGAGACTCAGTTGCCGTGTCAGGAGAGGGGAATGCAGACTGCCCTATGAAGCTGCATTGGAAAGAAAACAAACAGGAAACAGTAAGTTCTTCAGCCCTGCAGGTCTCCTTGCCTGCCTTTGCTGTGTACAGTTGGTGCTGTCTTCAACGTGAGCCCTCAGCCAGTAGGGTTTTCAGCATCAGTGTTTTTTAAAGATTTGTTTATTTGTTTGAGAGGCAGAGCTATTGACAGTGAGAGGGTAAGAGAGAGAGAGAGGTCTTCCATCTGCTGATTCACTCCCCAAATTGCTCTAGTGGCTGGAGCTGGGCCAATTCGAAATCAGGAGCCAGGAGCTTCTTCCAGGTCTCCCACGCGGGTGCAGGGGCCCAAGCACTTGGGCCGTCTTGCACTGCTTTCTCAGGCCATTAGCAGGGAGCTGGATTGGAGATGGAGCAGGTGGAGACTGAACCTACTGTGCCACAGCGCCGGCCCCACAGGGCTTTCTAATTCAGCATTTTACATAGTCTCCAAACCCAAGTCATAACTGTTAAGAATTACATTTGTTAATAGGGGTGGGAAACATCTGGCCCATGGGGCATATAAAGCCCACAGAATCATTTGATCTGACTCTGCCAAGGCAGCCACAGGTAGGACGCAAAATTCAATAAACCTATATATAGCAGTTGATAATTTGGTATGTCCCACAGATGTTGTTATAAATATCCAAAGGGCCCTTGGCAGAAAAAGATTCTCCACCCATGTATATCAAACTTTGGGTTCACACGTTTGATCTTCATCTGCTGGGTGTTTGGACTGGCGTAAACTTTTGATTACTTCATTGTGATTTCATGGCAGTTGATTCTCGAGAAATTCGAGAGAGAGACAGTTATGCTAATCAGCTGATAATGCTAACCCGGAAGCCTCACAAACATTTTGTAGCTAAAGACTTCGTACAAGTCCTGGTGTCTTATCTGTAGATGTATGCAGTTAACTCAAAATAAAAAGAAACAGAGGTGGCTTGACACGAGCCCAGTGTTTTGAAAGAAGGAAATGAACAACAGTTATGTTGGCAGATGATTTGGGATTGATTTTTTTTTCTTGTAATTATGTGGATTTTTTAAAATTTGAGGATTTTTATAGTCTCTGGGTCTGTTTCATTTTCTCTATATAAATTTGTAGTAAAATGGAAAGCATGGTTTGTAAAATAGTAAACTTACCATTTTTGAACTTTTTAGAATAATTTTAAAAATAGTGGGAAGAAGAGCCAGATTCCAGTGCAGTTGGATTTGGGAGGGATGCTGACCGCACTGGAGAAGCAGCAGCACTCCCAGCATGCAAAGCAGTCCTCCAGACCGGTGGTGTTCTCAGGTAAGCACCTTCATCTCATGTACCTGGCTGAGACTTCCACACAGATTGTTTTGTTTGTGTAGATGATTATTTGCATAGGATAAAAAGTGTGATGCTGGAATAAGCACAGATGTAAACCAGTGGAGTAGACAGGAAAGTCTAAGAATAAACCCATGTATCTATCACCAGTTGATTTTTTTTAAAGTTTATTTGAAATCAGAGTTAGGAGGAGAGACAGAGATCTTCCATCGCTGGTTCACTTCATAAATGGCTGCAACAACTTGGGCAAAGGCAAAAAGCTTTATGCAGGTCTCCCACTTGGGTGCAGGAGCACAAGCATTTGGCCGTCCTTTGCTGCTTTCCCAAGTGTATTAGCAGGGAGCTGGATTGGAAGTGGAACAGCGAACACTTGAACCAGCACCCGTATGGGATGTTGGTGTCACAGGTGGTGGCTGTACCTGCTCCACCACAGTACCAGTCTTGCCAGTTGGTTTTTTTTTTTTTTTTTAAAGATTGATTTATTTATTTGAAAGAGTTACACAGAGAGAGAAGGAGAGGCAGAGAGAGAGAGAGGGGTCTTCCATCTACTGGTTCACTCCCCAATTGGCTGCAACAGCCAGAGTTGTGCCGATCTGAAGCCAGGGACCAGGAGCTTCTTCCAGGTCTCCCGCGTGGGTGCAGGGGCCCAAGGACTTGGGCCATCTTTTACTGCGTTCCCAGGCCATAGCAGAGAGCTGGATCAGAAATGGAGCAGTCAGGACTTGAACCAGGGGCCCATATAGGATGCTGGCAGTGCAGGTGGTGGCTTCACCTGCTACAACACAGTGCCTGCCCATGCCAATTAATTATTTGATGAGGATGCCAGAGCTGTGAGAGAACACAGAACAATCTCTTCAAAAATGGAGTCATCAGGAAACTGCTCCTGAGAACTGCAGTGAAATATCACTTCTCACCTATTAGAATGATGCATCAAAACAGTGCAGGTGAGGGTGTGAAGAAATCAGAGCACTTCTGCACTGAAGTTGAGAGAGTAAATTGGTGCAACAGCAGTTCAACATGGTGTGGGGTTTTCTCAGAATGCTGAGTATATGGAGCTGCCAAGTGAAGAATCAAAGACAGACTTGGACACACACACGTACACATAACAGTTCTGGGCCGACTACTTGGACTGTCTTCCGCTGCATTCTCAAGGGACCGTAGCAGGAAGCTGGATCAGAAGCAGAGCAGCTAGGATTCAAATTGCTGCTCCCTATGGGCTGTCGGCATCAGAGGAGGTGGCTTAACCCACTGTGCTACAATGCCAACCCCTGCACAGATCTTAAGTGCACCATTTGAAGAATGTGGGAAGTGTTGTAACTCCTAGCCATGGAAGAAAATACCCAGGCACCCCTGGAATTGTCCTGTGCCCTTCCCAGTCAGTCCCTTTTGCCAGTCCCAGTAGATATTTTCCCTGGTCTAGAACTTCACATAAATGGAATCTCAGAGTGTGCTCCTTGGTGTAAAGCATCTTCCAGCACAGTGGACAGTGGATTTGGGATTTGCTCTTGTTATGTGTGTCTGTGATAGAGAAAGTATAGTTTCAGGATTTTCAGAATGAGTCCATATTATACTTTTTTAAATGGCTAATAAACAGAATCTGCTTTCATCCAGCCACACAAAGATATCCCTGGTCAGCAGATGGCGGAGGTCAAGAGTTTGGGTCTGGTGGGAGGTGGTCTGAGACCAAATGCTGGCTCGTCCAGTGACACACCAAGCTCACCACTCCTCCTCTTCCAGGCCTGCTTCTCCAGGCATGGCCTCTGACCAGAGATCAGCTGCAAGTCCCACCCCAGATCCATTGATTCAGAAACTCTGGATTGGGGCCTGGAAGACTGTTATTTAACAAGCCCTCCAGAGGATTTTAATGCATGCTCAAGTTTAAGATCTTTGGGTTTATTGAGCCATTAATAGATGCCAGCCAGAAAAGGACCAGGTTCTGAGACAAGTTCCTGCGACTTCCAGTCACAATGCTAGACAGCAGTTAGAAAAATGTCCACTGGACCTTACGGCCAAGACTATTCTTTTTTTTTTTTTTTTTTTTTTTTTTGACAGGCAGAGTGGACAGAGAGAGAGACAGAGAGAAAGGTCTTCCTTTTTGCTGTTGGTTCACCCTCCAATGGCCGCCGCGGCTGGCGCGCTGCGGCCGGCGCACCACGCTGATCCAATGGCAGGAGTCAGGTACTTCTCCTGGTCTTCCATGGGGTGCAGGGCCCAAGTACTCGGGCCATCCTCCACTGCACTCCCTGGCCACAAGCAGAGAGCTGGCCTGGAAGAGGGGCAACCGGGACAGAATCCGGTGTGCCGGCGCGCAGGCGGAGGATTAGCCTATTGAGCCACGGCGCCGGCCTAAATAAATTCTTTCTTTCTATCGAGCAGCCTGGAAGGCAGGCCGTCATCATGGACAGCTTGTGCACTTAAACATTCTATATGAAACAGGGAATTGCACAGAAGAGATCAATGACCATACCTGATTGACAGACACCAGTCATTTAGAAAATATGTTCAGAACTGGTGCTATGGCACAGTGGGTTAAAGCCCTGACCTGAAGCACCAGCATCCCACATGGGTGCCAGTTCTAGTCTCAGCTGCTCCTCTTCTAATCCAGCTCTCTGCTATGGCAGAGAAGCAGTAGAAAATGGAAAGCAGTAGAAGATGGCCCAAGTTCTTGGGCTCCTGAACCCAAGTAGGAGACCGGGAGGAAGCTCCTGGTTCCTGACTTCGGATCGGCTCATCTCTTGCCATTGCAGCCATCTGGGGCGTGGACCAGTGGATAGAAGACCCTTCTCTCTGTCTCTGCCTCTCTCCGTAAATGTCTTGCAAATAAATAAAAATAAATCTTAAAAAAAAATTTGAAAATTAGGGTAAAATACATTTGGGAAGACATTGGCAGTTCCTGAAGCTGGATGGTGGGTATGTGGGGTTTTATTTTTTGTATGAGTTGTTTACTTCATTGCTATGACAGAATACCTGAGGCAGCTGCTTTGTAAAGAAAAGGTGGTTTGGCTCAGAATTCTGGAGATTCAAAGTCCAAAGAGCGTGACAAGGCTTTTTTTTTTTTTTTCCATAAAATTAATATTTATTGCTTTATATGAATACTGTATTGAAAGCCCAAGCCAAGTTTACACACAGAAATTATACAATTATATACCGCTTCACAAAGGCAGTGAACACATTACATTCTACAAAATCTACTTTACAGAAATTTAAAAAGTCTGATATCAAAAAGTACAGCTGAGGAAACAGATATAAATTTGGCAGCCAGTAATTTTGACAGGGAAGTTGCAGCTCATATGACTTTAAATATGTGAATTTGAAAATATTGAGTTTAGAGTAATCATTGTGCTTTGTGTTGATTTGAAAAATATAACACTGGCTGTCGAAGAAGCATGTTCAAAAATATTTAATTCAGGGCCGGCGCCGCGGCTCACTAGGCTAATCCTCCGCCTAGCGGCGCCGGCACACCAGGTTCTAGTCCCGGTCGGGGCGCCGGATTCTGTCCCGGTTGCTCCTCTTCTAGGCCAGCCCTCTGCTGTGGCCAGGGAGTGCAGTGGAGGATGGCCCAGGTGCTTGGGCCCTGCACCCCAAGGGAGACCAGGAAAAGCACCTGGCTCCTGGCTCCTGCCATCGGATCAGCGCAGTGCGCCGGCCGCAGCGCGCCGGCCGCGGCGGCCATTGGAGGGTGAACCAACGGCAAAGGAAGACCTTTCTCTCTGTCTCTCTCTCTCACTGTCCACTCTGCCTGTCAAAAAATAAAAAATAAAAAAAAAAAAATTTAATTCACTTCAAAATGTCATACAAATTATGGTGGTTTCTGTGCACCCCTAACACTTCAATTAGCTCAGGTACATTACTAAAGCAATATATTCTTCCAGTACGGTGGTGTTTCATACCATTGACATTTGCATACTCTAGAATAATTTAGAAAGAAATGCGTAATATTCACAATGTTCAGAAAAGCAAGCAAAAAGTCAAGGAACCTGCCTAGTTCTTCTGAGATGGTCTCATGTCAGCTTCAGAAGCATTCGTTCTACAACATAGTAAGCTACTGTTGGAACACAATTTCCAAGATAAGTACATCTTCTCATAAATAACCATGTGTTTTTCTCAGGCACCTTAGAAGTATACAAAAAACTTCACATCTCTTGGAATGTGTTTAACCTGGTATTTCAACAGACAAGATTTCCAGGGTTTCACAAGGGCCAGATTTTATTTGAATTACTCAGAAGAGAAAGAAAATGTCTCCTGAAAGAGCTGAACTCAATCATTACCAATAGAAAAAGTATCCGCTGTATTCATCTCTTACAGAAACAGAAAAATATAACATTTCCTCCCTTAGGATAATATATATGTATATATATGTATTTATATGTATATGTGACTTAAAGTTCCATTGTACACAGTCAAACAATAAAATCTGGAAACCAGCATGAAACCCTGCAATTCACGTTAAAATATTGAAACTATGACCAAAACGGGAAAACTGCTAGAGCTGTCAAGAGACAAGACAAAAAGCTTTCTTGGCATATGTATAAACTAAATGTGATAATCTCAAAAAAGTTTTCAAAATTATAATTATTACCTTCCAGTTTAAAAACTTTAATGCTAAATTAAAGAAATCTATACACAAACCACTGATTTGACCAGACCAAAAAACAGTGAGCGGTAAGCAGGACCCAAAGGAGCTGATATTCACAGTTCTTACATGTACAACTCTTTCAGGATTTAAAGTACTTTACAGCCTGTTTCTCTTGTAAAACTACAGGTCCACTTTATCACATAAAAGTTTTATACAGTGTAAAACCAGAACTGTATGTAAAATACTGCATCTATGTGTTTCTAAACAATCAGTCCTGCTCCATTGGCTCCTCTGGGAAATTCTTCTGTTTCATGGCAGTTAGAACCATTACTTACAGGGCCTGTATTGCCACTACCTTCAGAATGTAAATCTTTCTCCGCTTGAGACACATCGGAATCCTCCATTTGATTATTTTCCTCAGAAGTCTCTTCATTCACAGTTAAGGCATCGTCAGATTCTTTTTCTTGATTTTTTCTCTCTGGGATCATTTCTCTTGATGTCATAAAAGACTGTTCTTCCTCCTCTTCTCCCTCATCTTCCGCACAGTGCTGCCTGGCAGTGTGGCTTTCTTTGTCTTTACCCTGAGGTGACGACAGGGCTTCTGTGTCTTCTGCCAGAACTGAAGGACTCTCACTGGAAGCTGTCTGCCCGGCCGCCTCTCTCACTTCCCCTTCTTTGTCAAACCTGAGTCTTTTTACTTCGTGGCCCTCGGCTTCTACAGCGTCTTCATCTGGGTGTTTATTTTTTATGGGGCTCACTGAGGAGACTTCTGATTCAGTTGCCAGCGAGTCACTGTGGTTTTTCTCTTCATTTTGCTGTAAGTTTGACTATTTACTGTCTGGGCTCTCGGGCAAACCATTTGTTGTCATTGGAACTGACAAAGAAACCTTTGGTCGATTAAGTGGCCTGGGCGTCCCAGGCCCATTTATATTAGACCTGTCAGTATAGCTTGGTGAATTTCCAGGAAACATAACACCATTCATTCTATTTAAACTATTAGAACTGGTTTTCTCTGAAGAAGGATAAACACAGCTAACAAGCATCACATTCTTTTCTACTCCTCTGAGAAATTTGTCTGTTCCTGTATAGTTTCTTCTTGGATCTGTTAGCAATTCACATAGTCGCTGAATAGTAAAAGGGATACCATTAAATCCAGTGACAATTTTCAGTATTCGTTCCTTCATTTCATCAAAGGGAATATACTCGACATTAGGGTTGGGAGGACCTCTTGGTTCAGGAGCTGAAGTTCTGAAATCATCCATCACTTTCTCCAGTTTGAAAATAAAATAGCCTTTAAATTGGGACCACTGAATCATTGTTTCTCCAGTCTTGGCTACATGACAAAGAAACTGATCCAGGACAGGGCAAACTTCCTTTTTACCCCTCTTCTCAAAATCTTTCAGCGCCTCCTGCAGCCTCTCTCCGCGGGCCTCCCGGGGCCCGGAGCGCCTCACCCCACCCCACCCCCAACGCCCGCCCCCTCCCTCGCACACACTCCGGCACGCAGGCGATGGGGAGGGGGGCACTGAAGGGAGCCGGGGGAAGCGAGCGAGACAGCGAGCACCTTCCCGAGCCGCTACCACTAGCCCTCCAACATGGTGCCCTGTGACAAAGACTTTTTAGCAAGGGTGGCTGCATCGTGTGCAGGAATGTGTCTGTGTCTGTATGAGACTTCCCTCCCTCTCCTTAGAAAGCTACCAGGACTCAGTCATAGGAGTTCCACCCTAATGCTCTAACCTAATCTGATCCCTTCCTGAAGGCCCTGCCTCCAAACACTGGACCTGGATTATGTTTCTAGCTTCTCAGTACAGTTGACATAAAAACTCCCAAGTTTGGCGGATAGATACTCAAATTTGTGCATTTTGAAATTTTCCTAATTAAAAAAATTTAGGGGGGAAATGTATAGGAGTTAACTGTTTTCTTGAAACAGTTACTGAGTTGGGAATTAGAGCAGAGTAGCAGAGTAAGATTAAAGATTTTAATGGGAGTCAGGCAGTTCATTGACTGTTTAGAGGAAATGCCCCCAGCCACACATGATGGGATTTGGGAAATCATGTTTATGTCTGGAAAACTCAAGAGAACCAACTGGAAATGTTATTAGGATTGTACCAGGACTTGATAAGATAAAGGCATACACAGAAACTAAGAGCCTTTGTGCCAAGATGGCAACAGCTGACAGTGGTGGAGCTGGGTGAATCCATCACAACACTGCTGAAGTACAAACCTAGACGTAGCTGGAGTCAGGAAATGAGATCCCTGTGTGTCTAAGCTTTGCCAATAAACGGAAGATTTGATCACGTGGGCAGGACGGAACATCTTTTCAAATTAAATGGTACTTCTTTTGGATCCCATCCAAACAATACTGTATTCACTTAGAATCATTGCCAGTGGATTTATAGAGTCATTGTCAATGGAAAAGAACGTGGAGGAGATTATTTGACAAAGATGAGAAAAGTGGGGACAGGCTGGGGTGGCCCTGGAACTCTTTCAGGTGCCCTGAGACAGACCTGGGTGAGCTGGGCAGAGCTGTGGGGCGGTGGCCTGAGACATTTGTCCTACTGTGTTTCAGTGGGAGCGGTGCCAGTTCTTTCCAAAGAAGCCACGTCAGGGGAGAGGGGCCGCCGCTCTGGTCAGGTGAAGACCCCACACAATCCCCTGGACTCCAGCGCCCCCCTCATGAAGAAAGGCAAGCAGAGGGAGGTCCCCAAGGTCAAGAAGCCGACCTCATTGAAGAAGGTGTGTGGCGTTTCAGTTGAAATAAAGTACTGAAAACCTTAGACGAGGTCACGTGTCCCTAGTGACATCTTTGGGACAGTAGGTTTGTGTAACTGAACCTGGTGTATCTACATGTGTTAATAATTCTCAAACAGATTGATCCCCTACTCTGCCAGCTAGGTGCGATGGAGCCTGTGAAGCAAGGGGTGTTACAGCTCCCTGGAAGGAAGAGCCTTTTCTGTTCTCTGCTTTCTAGTGATGGGGGCTGAAAAGCAGAACTGGGGGCTTGGGTTCTCCTCCATCATCCGCCTCACCCTCCCCTGGTGGATTATCTGCCATTCAGAGTGCGTGGATGTCACCCATAGCTGTGCAGAGCCCAGTGAGATGGCTGGACAATGCCATTTAGCTGGTTCTCGGGTAGCCCTGTGGTGTGCACTTGGTCTTGCTCAGAAGCCTGCGGTTGGGGACCATGGTCAGACAGGGCTGCAGACCTGGCTTTAGAGCCCGGGTCTCTTGTGCTGCTGTGTGCCCTTGGGGGTACTGTGCTGCTCCTACACACAGGGAGACGGGAGCAGGTCCCTGCTGCAAGGAACAGCTCCGCGTGATCTAATCAGCTGGAAGAGCTTATCTTTCCAGTACAATCACTTAGGGATTTTATCATTCGTTTGATTTTGTAGATTATCTTGAAAGAACGGCAAGAGAGAAAGCAACAGCGTCTCCTGGAAAACACTGTGAGCCCCACTGTTGTCAGTGAGGAGCTGCAGGATGTAGAGAGCAGTGCAGAGGAGCAGGCTCCCGGCCAGGTCGACCTCACAGGTACCAGGTTCCGTGTGCGCCTTTTGTTGTTGTTGTTCTTGTTTTTTGAAAGATTTATTTATTTATTTGAAAGGCAGAGTGACAGATCTTCATCCACTGGCTCACTCCCCAGATGGCCATAACAACTGGGGCTGGGCCAGGCCGAAGCCAAGAGCTGCATCCAGGGCTCCACATGGGTGCAGGGGCCCAAGCACATGGGTATCTTCCATTCCTTTTCCCAGACTATCGACAGGGAGCTGGATCAGAAGTGGAGCAGCCAGGACAGGGATAGGAATCAGCACCCATATGCATGCCAGCTTTGCAGGCGGCGGCTTTAGCTGCTATGCCACAGTGTGGGCCCCTTGTTTTACCTATAAGCTTCCTTCAGATAGAACCACCATGGGAAATGGGAGATCTGTACACCCAACTGCCTGGGATTTTGTCAACTTGTGGCACCTGTGTGATAGAAGCAGGTCAGCAGGAGCCTCGAGGTGTGGAAGGTTGTAGACTCTCGACCTCAGAGTGAGAAGAAACCCCTGCAGCTGGGGCCTCTGTGAGCAGTAGAGGAGATGAGCTCCTCTAATGTGATCTGTATGACACTGGCTGTCCCTCTAACTCGAAGTGGCTGTGACAGTTAACATGAGAATTAGCAACGTTACCTATGGTGCGGCTTACTGACTAATCTAGATCCAGGGAGGTCGTAAAAGCAAATGTGTCTTTTAAAAAATTCATTTTATGTTTTTGAAAGGCAGAGCTCAGATCCATCTGTTGGTTCATGCACACAAGAGCTAGAACTAGGCCAAGGCAACACCAGAAGCTGGGACCTTAGTCCAGGTCTCCCACATTGGCAGTAGGAACCCAGCTGGTTGAGCCATCCCTTCCTGTCTTCCTGGGTGCATATTTGCAGGCAGCTAGTATTGGGGGTGGGGCTGGGACTTGAACCTAGGCACTCTGATAGGGCACGCAAATGTCCCAGGTGGTATCTTAACTGCTATACCAAGTGCCCGTGTATATGTTCTTTAAGTATACTTTTATTCAAGTGTGATTCCAGAAAAGTACACAGATCATAATTGTGCAGCTTGAAGACTTCTCATAAATTATAACACAGCAGCCAGATCAGGAAGCAGAGCAGAGCCCAACATCCCCCTGTGCCTTCTGGTGAGAAGTTTCCCCAGGGACCTTGCTTCGATGGCAGCACCACCAAAGGGGCTTTGACCTGGCACCAGTGGAGCCAGGCCCTTCTCTCAGTGCTTTGTTCATGGCAGGTGTTCAGTTCACTGACGCACGGTTTTCTGTTGGATGAATACACTGAGTTGGGATGGTCATGTGGCAGTTTCTGTTTGGGGACCGTGTGCAGTGGCTTGCAGTGGACATGTTAAGTGTTTGTCTTGGAGGACATGAGCACTTGATTCTGCGGAGCACTTCCTGGAGCAGAACTGCCCTAGTGACTCCTGCCAGACACATTTCCAAGTGCTCTGCAGTGCACTCCCGAGAAGCACCTGTCCTCCCCAGCCTGTGCGGCCCCTTTCTCTGTGCCTCCCTCCCAGTAGATGTGTGTGTTCTCTGATTTCCTTCACTTTGGCACTTAACTTGTGTTCTGGTGGACTGTGGAAGCAGCTGATTGGGGATGGTCAGGTTTAATTTCAAATTTAAGAACAAATTTTGGCCACTGAACTGTACACCTATAGTTTAAGTGGTACTTATGTATATTTGCTATGTCCAGGCAGAGCAGAAGGTCCCTGGGCATTCTCTTCTGTTCACTGCCATGGACATGTCTTCACAGCATCAGCTAGGGATGGAGTGGGCATGGCATGGGGCCCCGTAGGTGCAATCAGTGACTTTGCTTTGGTTGAAGGTCCAGGGGGAGCTGAGAAAGCAGTCCCCACACCCATGGTTGAGGTCCAGGCAGAAGAGTCTTTGGGCACAGAGCTGCAGAACGATGCCGAGGCCTGCCAGCCTGCTCCTGACCATGCCGGCCTCCCCAAGATCCACAGCCGGAGATTCAGAGAGTGAGTGAGCCCCTGCCCTCCAGGATCTGGGCAATAGAGCACTTAGCTTCTACTTGGCAACCCTTTTCCAGGCTTAGCACCATAAATCCGTATAGTTGGATCACACTGTATTTTGGTCCTCAAGGTTAAGAGTGGCTAGAACCTGGTTATACACGTGCACGTGCTCAGGGATGGCCTTATCATTCCACTGTGTCTTCTGCTGAGTCTAGGGCTTGTATGAGCCATGGTGCAAGGTGGGCCCAGAGATAGCTGTCCTCTTCTGTGGGAGTGGGGGGAGGGTGCTTCCATCTGTACGATGTGTAAAAGCAGAAATCCCATGGCATGGATGAGTCACGCAGGAGCAGGCTGTACTGTTTTAGCCAGATGTCATGATGTCTCCTGTCTTTGCAGTTACTGCAGCCAGATGCTGAGTAAAGAAGTGGATGCTTGTGTCACTGACCTACTCAAAGAACTGGTCCGTTTCCAGGACCGGATGTACCAGAAGGATCCTGTCAAGGCCAAGACCAAACGCCGGCTTGTGCTGGGGCTGCGGGAGGTTCTCAAGCACCTGAGGCTCAAGAAGCTGAAGTGTGTCATCATCTCTCCCAACTGTGAGAAGACACAGTCAAAAGGTGACGACACCTGGCTGCCCCTGGCGTGGGCCCCTGTGACATCGCTGGCTGGCCACAGCCCTCGGCTCAGGGAGCACCTGGGTAGAACCTGCCATATGCCCTGGCAGCTCCTTTTCTCTTGGTGTGTTTTGTTTGTTTTTAAAAGATTTATTTTATTTGGAAGGCAGAGTTACAGAGAGGCAGAGAGAGAGAGAGCATGTGAGCTTCCATCTACTGGTTCACTCCCCAGGTGGCTGCAATGGCCAGAGCTGCATTGATCCGAAGCAAGGAGCTGCTTCTGGGTCTTCCACACAGGTGCAGAGGCCTAAGGACTTGGGCCATCTTCTGCTGCTTTCCCAGGCCATAGCCGACAGCGAGATTGGACTGGCACCCATATGTGGCTACACCACAGCACCGTCCTCTCTTTGTGTTTTGTAACTGAATGTTTGTTTCCCACATGTGTTGACCACTGAGTTCCTGTATGTGGGTTGAGCTGGCCCAGGCAAGCCTCTGGCAGCAGGGTATGCTCTGGAGCAAGCAAGTGTGGTGCCTATGGCCAGGCTGTACCCCAGAGCACCTGTCTAAATTATGATGAGGTGTTCAGTCTACATTCTTCACTGCTGGTGACTACACATGGGAGCTTGTTTCATTTTAATCTGGAACGTGTGTTGTGTTTTGTTGGGTGTGATGTACTGAATGCCGTGACTGAACACCTGACATCTTGGTTTTGCGCTGTGCCTATGTTGTCTGGGTTCCTAGAGGACTTGCCCTCCATGTTGTGCCCTCCTTGAGTTATCTAATGGCGCTGGGAGTTAGGAACAGATGCTGTAGCTCAGGGTGCACATCAGTCCTTCATCCCATCAGGGCTAGGGAAGAGGACGGACTTGGAGCATTCAAGCCCTTTCTTGCCCCATTCCATCTTTTGCTGGGTGAAGTTAATTCAGCCAGGGTTGAGTAAGATAATGAGTCGAGGTCCTGGAGCTGAGCCGTTGGCGGTGAGCTTTTCTGGTTACCTTACTGTTTCACAGCTGAAGCCTGACATGTCTGAGGCCCTTAGGATCTAGGAGAAGCCTCTGCACCTCCTCAGTCTCAGCTCAGTGGCTCGTCCTTATCCTCACTCGGTGCAGGTTCACTGTCACTGTGGATCTGAATATGGCAGGGGATTTCAGTGACCTGCTGTCTGGCTGTGTGTCCAGCAGTGCCCAAGGGCCTTTCCGCTTGCTTCCCTGGCTGCTTTGTCCATGTTGTGTATCTGCACAGCTAAGAGGGTCAACAGTCCTGCAGGGTTTCCTGAGAGACAGGGGCTCCCTACTTCCCTGAGGCTTAGCCAGAACTTGGGGTATTTACCTCTTTGTTTCCACCCTGTTCCTGTTGGGGGTCTCTGGGGATCAAGGCATCCTATGTGCTGCCCTTGTGGGGGTGAGCCCTTGTTTTCCTGGAACACTTCCTCCAGTGGGTTATAAGAAATGGGTTCAAGGGAGATCTTGAAACAAGTTCTCTGGTTCTGGATCCTTTGTCTGTGGTCTTGCTTCTTCATGTCCCTCCCATGCAGAAGCAAGTTGGGATGGCCTTGATCCTGCAGTTCTGGGTTACGAGTCATTTGCATCACCACCCTTGGCTCTGGGTGCCTTGTTGAGTTTCTGCTGACTCCTGCTCAGTTGTCAGTCACGCTGCTTGGAGCTGCACCCCTCAGCAGCAGCCTCCCAGCCTGGCAGCTTCCTCGTGGTGGCCCTCTGCTTCTTTTCATCCCATTCTTCAATGCTGTCTTCTAAACTTCCTGTGGAATTTTTCATTTCTAATGTTTTTAATCTCAGGAAGCTGTTTTTGCTCTCTGAACTTTCCTTTGTTTGTTTGCTTTTTAAAGTTTACACGCTTCCATCTGCTGGTGTACTCACTAAATGCCCCCCAGTGCCCAGGGCTGGACCAGGCTGAAGCTGAGAGCCAGGCAGGAACTCCATCCAAATCTTCCATGTGCATGGCAGGGATCCAGCTCCTGGACACCTGCTGCTCTCAGGGTGCACATCAGCAGGAAGCTAGAATTAGGAAGAGAGCTGGGACCCCAACCCAGGCAGCATCCTAACGGCTAGACTAACTGAACACCTGCCCCAGCTGCTGCTGCTTGTAGACGCGTGACCTCTCGATTTCAGTGGTGTCAGGTCCTCTGCATGTAGGGCATCTCTTTCCTCCACCTTCATTACTGTGTGTGTTTGGGTTTCTCATGGTGGAGGTTTTCCAGAGCGATCGGTGGCCCCCAGCCTGCTCCTGAGAGAACCCTGAGTGTGAAGCAGGTGTCCACAGGCAGTGGTTCTCTGAGTGTCAGAATTGCCCAGGGCCTGGTGAAAACAGATTCCAGAGTTTATGTCTGAGTCCGTCCAGGGCCCAGGAGTTTGCGCTCCTAGAAGCGGGCTCCAAACAAGTGGTGTCCAACCACACTACACCAGACATCTACCGTCATTTGCCTTTAAAAAAAAACAGTTAGGAGCCACAGGAGACTTTAGGTGTTGTGTATGTTGGTATTCTTTTTCCAACTACATTTTATGTTGTATCACAAACTTCATAGTCTATGGCTGATAAATAATGTATTTTTTTCCTGCTTCCACATTTTCACTTTCCTACGTTCTGTGTCAGCTGAGATGTAAAGTGTCAGTCCAACCTGATTTTCCAGATCCTCTCCCACTGATTCAGGTGTTCTTCACGTGCTGTGCTTCCATGGATTCTGTCAAGCTGCGTCACCCTCTGTGTTAACTGTCTTTTTTTTTTTTTTTTTTTTTTTTTTTTGACAGGCAGAGTGGACAGTGAGAGAGACAGAGAGAAAGGTCTTCCTTTGCCGTTGGTTCACCCTCCAATGGCCGCTGCGGCTGGCGCGCTGCGGCCGGCGCACCGCGCTGATCCGATGGCAGGAGCCAGGTACTTCTCCTGGTCTCCCATGGGGTGCAGGGCCCAAGCACTTGGGCCATCCTCCACTGCACTCCCTGGCCATAGCAGAGGGCTGGCCTGGAAGAGGGGCAACCGGGACAGAATCCGGCGCCCCAACCGGGACTAGAACCCGGTGTGCCAGCACTGCAGGGCAGAGGATTAGCCTAGTGAGCCGCGGCGCCGGCCAACTGTGTCTTTAACTGCAGGCTTTGAACCTGGGCATGCTAGCCTTTTTCCATATTTTTTACTTCTCAAAGAAATCTAGTATATAGGGCCGGCGCCGCGGCTCACTAGGCTAATCCTCCGCCTAGCGGCGCCAGCACACCGGGTTCTAGTCCCGGTTGGGGCGCCGGATTCTGTCCCGGTTGCCCCTCTTCCAGGCCAGCTCTCTGCTGTGGCCAGGGAGTGCAGTGGAGGATGGCCCAAGTGCTTGGGCCCTGCACCCCATGGGAGACCAGGAAAAGCACCTGGCTCCTGGCTCCTGCCATCGGATCAGCGCGGTGCGCCGGCCGCAGCGCGCCAGCCGCAGCGGCCATTGGAGGGTGAACCAACGGCAAAGGAAGACCTTTCTCTCTGTCTCTCTCACTGTCCACTCTGCCTGTCAAAAAATAAAAAATAAAAATAAAAAAAAAAAAAAAAGAAATCTAGTATATAGTAAGTTATGATGTTTTAAAGTTTTGGATTAATATAGTTGACATGACTTTTGGATCATCCTGTCCAGGAGCATAGGTGTCTTTATTTACCTTTTCCTGTTGGATTGTTTAATAGGATGTTGAAGGGTTTCTGTAATCTTGGACCGTGCTCAGTAAATGTATTACTGCCTGCTGCAGTCGCGTTGCTGAGGTGAACCGAGTTACCTTCTTGACTGCATGCTCACTAGGCGCCATTGTAGTGTATGAAGTCGGGCTCCTGCTGGCGGGAGTGCTTTCCAGGTGCTGCCCCTGCCTCCTGGGCTCACTTCATCTCTCCCTGTCTCTCTGCTGTGCTAGTGCCTCACTTGGAAGCAGGGTCAGGTAGGAGGGGGGTGAGGAGCCCTCAGGAGTCAAAGATTCCATTGGGCCTCACACCTTTACCTCTCATTTTCCACCTTTTGAGGTTGTGGATCAGGGGGACTGCCGGGACAACGAGTGAAGCAGCAGATCCTGGCCTGGCACAGAGCAAGTGTCCAGTCATACTGGCTAGTGCTTGCTTTTTCCCATTACTGTGCTGCCAGCTCTCTCTTACCACATAAGGAAGTACCTCTTCTGCAGAGTTGACTCTTCCCCATGGCTGTGAGTCGCTGTCTCCTGATGGATTTGACGGAGCCACTGACTGGAGTCTGAGGTGATGGGTGTGGGGCGAGCTGTGGTGTGTGCCATCAGTGCTAACCCCTTGCACCCTGTGCTATGTCTCCCTGTCCTTTTGCTGTCCTCTGACAGGCGGGCTGGACGACACCTTGCACACCATTATCGATTACGCCTGTGAACAGAACATTCCCTTTGTGTTTGCACTCAACCGCAAGGCTCTGGGACGCAGTTTGAACAAAGCAGTTCCTGTCAGCGTCGTGGGCATCTTCAGCTACGATGGGGCCCAGGTGAGGTCACTGCCAGTGGAGGGAGGTCAGGATGACAGACAGAGGCTGGCAGAGCCTCCTCATCACACAGGAGCTGTGTCTCTTTTATGAAGATTTATTTATTTGGAAGTCAGTTACACAGAGAGAGAGGTCTTCCATCACTGGTTCACTCCCCAGTTGGCCGGATGGCTGGAGCTGGGCCGATCCAAGGCCAGGAGCTTCTTCCTGGTCTCCCACGTGGGTGCAGGGGCCCAAGGACTTGGGCCATCTTCTGCTGCTTTCCCAGGCCACAGCAGAGAGCTGGATTGGAAAGTGGAGCAGCCGGGATGCCAACTGGCGCCCATATGGGATGCCGGCACTGCAGGTGGCGGCTTTACCCTCTACGCCACAGCACCAGCCCTGGGTGCTCTAACACCAGGAAGTGGCCGGTTCTACGTTTGACTCTGGGCTTCAGTCCACCTAAAGATACTCGGCCTGGATGGTAACCATCCCTGGCCCTGGCAGGCCTATGCCACCTGTGCCTCCCTCTGGAGGACTGAGTCCTGATAACTGTGCTCTCATTTGCACCCCAGGACCAGTTCCACAAGATGGTTGAGCTGACGATGGCAGCTCGGCAGGCATACAAGACCATGCTGGAGAACATGCGGCACGAGCTGGCAGGAGAACCAGGGCCTCCGACCCCTCCCCAGCCTGTGCAGGGCCCCAGCTGCTCTGCAGAAGACGGTCCCCCGGCTCCCACCGAAGGCGAAGTGCCACACTACCGTGAGTATTAGCAAGAGGTCTGGCATCTGTATTGATTTCAATCAGGGTGGCCGGGAGAACAGCTTGGCACCCATGCTGCCAGACTGGCTGCTGTGGGGCCGAGGCAGTGCAGGCCATTGCCCAAGAGGTGCTCTTCAGGCAGAGGAGGGTGCAAGCTCTTGTCAGTGACTGTCAGACCTCAGCAGATGGCACAGCACAGCACCGTATCCACGACAGGCTTGGGAGCCCAGCTGCAGTTTCTGGGGTCATTGCCGAGGCACAGGCCGGGTGCAGAGATTGAGCCTGCCAGGGACTCATCTGAGCAGCATGGCTACCGTCAGAGAGTGGGGGAGAGATCAGGAAGTGGGGTATCTTCCATCCACTGGGGCTATCAAGTTGGGTATCAAGCCATCCAGGGCTTGGCCAGGCTGAAGTCGGGAGCTGGGAGTTTCCTCTCGGTCTCCCATAGAGGTGTAGGGGCCTAAGTAGTTGAGCCACCTTCTGCTGCCTTCCCAGGTGTACTAGCAAGGAGCTGGATTGGAAATAAAACAGCCAGGACTTGAACCAGCACCTGTATGGCATGCTAGTGTCGTAGGCGACAGCTTAACGCAGCGTGCCACAGCGCCGGCCTCGCTGCTGGGTTTCTGCTAGAGGAGTGCCATGCCTTCACCACGTGCACTGTTTCTTGTTTTAGTTGAAATCTGGAGAAAACACCTGGAAACATACAATCAGTATGCCCTGGAGCTAGAAGAAACACTGGAGGCTTCAACTGCTCACATGATGAACTTGAATTTATAGGAGGGCTCTTTCCAGTGTATCTGTCTTTTGGGTAAGGAGGCGGGAGGTCTGAAAAAGACACTGGGACTTTGTCTGCTGCTCCGTTGTTCACTGCTGTCCTGAATTCTGTATGATTGCTGAGTGTGCGCATGAGCCAGCATGAGAGGACACGCAGCAGCGGTTGTGGCCTCATGGCACACATCCCATGGCGGGTGCTCAGATATCTTGTGGGGATGCAGCTATGGCTCTCTGAGCAACAGCGTGGACCTGGAAAGTTCTGGAAAATGTGGTGCCGAGGTTGTTCTCCCTACAAAGGAAACGTTCTCTGTTGTAGCAAAGCTGAGCCAGGTGAGCTAATTTTTGCAGCAGGCAGGGCTACAAGCTTCTGGGGGCCCTTGGTGTAGTGACAGCAGGAGGCGCTCTTGCCTTCCGTGATCAGCACGGTCCTGCAGACATGTGAGTCTCAGGGCAGGACGGCTGTGGCGAGGGCCCTTTCTCAGGGTGGGTGCACAAGATTTGGAAGGTTTGCCAAAATGAGCCTCAAAGGAAAACCGATTTTCTGACCTGTGACTTTTTGACATGAATTATTCCTGTTAGTCTATTTTTCCGAGAAACGATGTATAGAAATTCTAGATTTCTGTTTGATAATCCTTACATCTTCCTTTTTTAGATGAGCATATTCTGAATGTGGTTTGGTCTTGAGGGGAACAGTGTACTCTCCTGCTTTCCTTGTAAGAGGGTGTATTTATTTTGAATAAAGAATGGCTATTTCGTTTCACACTGGTGATCATAGGCTTATCTGTGGTCTTGATCTCACCAGTTGTCCTGCATCTTCATTGCTTAACGATGCTGGCCTCTGAGCTTGGGGTGCTGAGCAGAGGGCGGTCTCTCCTGGGTCTGCAAGTGGGGATGGCTGGAGAGCTCCCACAGGGGCCTTCCACTGTCACATCCCGGCCAAGCCCTGATTCTTTTCTCTGAGCCAGTGGCTGGAGATGACTGTCACTATTTTTTGTTTTGGCTTTAAAATTGTGATTAATCGTGCTCAGTCATGCCAAACATTGTACCTCAGGAATAAGTGTCCTGTGGTGAGCAATGGAGAGAATGAGTGGGAAGTGGTAAGCAGAAGGCAGGGCTGGCGAGGTGACCGGAGGTCAGTGTGTGAAGCGCTGTTTGCTGTGCTGTCCGTGGAACTCGAAGTGCCCAGTGGCCCAGCTGTGTATGTGTTGAGCTCTTGTGTGGGACATGATGGCGGCTGGCCCGGCCAGGCGCCGAGGTCGAGCACATTGCATGTGTGTGCGCGAACCTTTCAGGGCAGTAGGAGAGCAGAGAGGTCTGTCCTGCCCCACCCCTCCCCACAGGCAGCAAGGCTGCCGTCCTGTTTGGTAAGCCAGAAGTTACTTAGAAAATCTCTGCCGGTGATGGAGGCCTTCTGCCCCACACCTGTTCTCAGAGGTCTCCAGTCTGCGGCGTTTGCTTTGCTAACAGCTGTCACAGCAGCATAAGAAATGTAGGTGACCAGAGGTTTCTTCAAACAGGCAGTGGCAGCCACCACTGCAGGTGGCTTCCGATGGCACCCTCAGTGCCAGGCCTGGGCTCCCAGCGCAGGCTTCGCGCTGCGTGCATATACAGTTCTTTGACTCCTGCACTGCTGAAAAGAGTAAAGATTCATCCTCACGGCTCAACACTGCATGTCACGGGACTGCACACGTGTGCTTGTTTTGTCAAGCATGAGGTGTCCCAGCTAACCCAGACTAGAGAGGAGGACACGGAGAACAGCACTGACGCGGTTCACCGAGATACAGAGGACGTGACGGTCCCGTGACCAGCGTGCACCCACCAGACGGGCAGGCAGGCACCGGGAAGGTGGCCGGCCCCTCTCCGCTCAGGTGAGGGAGCGGGAACAGTGCATGGCACAGGCAACCAGGGCATTGCTAACCTGAACGCAGCCAGCTCCAGGGGCCTTGTTCGTGGAGGGTCTGTGCAGTAACGTGTGGGAAGATAAGCGGAGCTCTCACACCCGTCTCCAGCCGCACCCAGGGCTGCCGAGGGGTGTAGCTTTAACAGAAGGGGTTTGTGGAAGCTCTCACCCACGGACGAGCCGTGTTTAGTCGGAGCCGGGCTGCCTCAGGACTGCATCTACACACGACAGGTCTTCAGGATAGACAGCTTTATTCATTAGACTCAGAAGCAGGGGTAACAGCACTCTCGTCACTCACACCACTATCAAGAAAATGGCGTACGGCACCAGGAGATTTGCATCATTGGCCTGTTTGGGTTTTCTACCTCCAGCTGTGGGTCCTGTTGCTGAGCACTGATGGGCAGGCGCTCAAGGGCATAGCCCTCAGCACGTGAGCGCACACAGCCCAGCCTGCGGAGGTCAGTGAAGAACACTATGGACGATGGGCCGCTCCTGGCGGGGGAGGAGGGGCCTTCTCGGCACGCTGGGTTAAGGCAAAATGTTCTCTGGGAGTCTCCCCTTCACCTGTCCTGGGAGTGGTGAATCGGATGTGGCAGCGCTGGGGCAGGCCTGATCACATACCTGTGACTGGTGGAGCCATCCATGTAAGATGGAATCCTTGGGATGCTCAGGAATGGCCTGGGGCTGGAGAGGAGCCTTCCCCCACACTGCCGCGAGTGGCCTGCTCACATCCTGCCAGCCTGTGCTACCAGACACATGCTCTGGCAAGCCTAAGCACCTAATTTTCTTTTACAGTCCCAGTTAGCATCCCTGGGGCTCTCGAGGTTACGAGCCTCTCCTTCAGGCTCCACTTCTGGAGGAGCCAGTCAGGCGTGGCCACGCTCAGAGCAGGCTAGGGTCGGTGTCGGGAGCTGCCTCCAGGTGGCTAGAGGGTGTCCTTGCTGCAGCTTTCCTGAAAGGACGGACAAGCGGTCTTTGAATTCCTGCCCATCGATGGGCTCCTCCCTCAATCCCCTCAGATGTTATAACGAAGTCCTGGGGTCTCCAGGATGGGACTGCCCACCCCCAGGCCTGAGGAGCAGAACTTGTAGGAATGGTTCCCGCCATCCCAGGCAGACTGCCCATCTCCCGGGGGAGGAGGGCCTGGGAGAGGGAGCCTGCAGTGGACCAACCGCCAGCCACGGACCCCACAGCCTGCAGTTTAAGGCCCTTGGGCTCGAGCTGTTGCAAACCTCTCACCTGCGGCAGCTCACCCAGGAGAAAATCTGCTTAGCCTTCTGGTGGCCATCGGGAGGGCAGCACCAACAATTCTAGAACCTGGGGCCCAGGCAGCCTCCACCTGCAGCCACAGGGCTGGGCCTGTCACCTCCAGGGCTGAGCTTAGGAAGTTCCTTTGTCTCCCAGGAGCACCCAGCTGAGGTTCCTGACCCAGAGCCCTGGGAGTGAATCCTCCATCAGCAGGTGTCCTGCTCTTGGCAAAACAGAAACTTGCTCAGGACTCTAGGGCCAGGGAGGCCATGGGGCCACCACTGTCCTCCAGGGCCAGTTGGGCGCCTGTTGCTCTCCAGCCTCAGTGACAAGACTTGGGGTCACAAAGTAGAACTGCTCTGCTGAGGGGAGCAGGTGGGGCCCTGAGGTGGAGGTCACGCACGTACCCACGCCTTCCTCCAGCCTCGCATCAGCCGGTCGTGCTCCCCGGCCACAGTCCTCCAGGCAGCGAGCTCTCTGCTCCACTTCTCCTGCTGGGCTGCCTCTGCAAGACAAGTGGGCCTGTGGGCATGGTGTCACAGACCTGTATGGCACCCCCGACACTCACTGTCCACTGGGGCTACGCCACAGGGGGTGTCCAAGCTCCCCTCCAACCTGCCCCAGGAGCCCACACCAGTGGGAGACACCTTGTTGGCCCAAGCTGTGCGATCCTGAGTGACTGAGGCCTCGCCACCTCACCAGCGGGTGCCCTGCCTGCCCCCTTCTAGTGGGGACAGCTACTCTCAAGGCATCTCACTTGTAATTCCTGTTCCTGCCAGGGCTCACCTCCGACACCCTTGGCGTGTTGCAGAGACTTGAGGTCTTAGGTGGGCGGGGTCTGTGGCTTCTCCTCTCAGGTGGGACTGGGAGCTGAGGGGCAGAAGCAGCAGCCCAACTCCCGCCATGGCCCTGATGGCCCCTCAGGAAGCAGCACAGCTTTGGTTTCTGAGGACGTCATGCCCTTTGCCGTCGTTCTCCACGGCTGTTCATGTGCTTAGCCTGGTTCTAAGAATGAGTTACCTGCAGGGCCAGTGGGTCTGCACAGACTTGACAGTGTTTTTTGTAAACACAAGAATGAGTTAGACAGCCTCATGTTTCTGATTTCTGCCAAGAACAGGAGTCCTTCAGACTCGAAGCAGAACAGCACTCAGCAGGGGCCCTGCTGGTCAGTCTAGCCTGATACCCACCCAGCCTGCAGCCAAGCCACTCCAGAAAAAGAATGCAGGGAGCACGTGCCCCTCGGAAAGGGGCCACACTAGGAGCTGGTTCTGGTGCCATGAGCTACAGCACTGTCCAGAGTAGCAGTGTCACAACCAGCAGGGCACAAGTCCACGGTGACTGTTCCAGCCTGGTACAACCCACGGGGCAGGACGGCTAGGATGTCTCGGACAAACTCAAAGAGCTGGGGGAGCCAACACCTGCCATGGTCTGTCTGCTGCCACACTTCCACTAAAGGCGTAATGGGGCATCTTTTAAACAGGAAAGGACAGGAGAGAGGACATGGTAAAAACCTGGGAGGGGGCCAGTGCTGTGGCGTAGTGGGTAAAGCTCCGCCTGCAGTGCCGGCATCCCATATGGGCACCAGTTTGAGCCCTGCCTGCTCCACTTCTGATCCAGCTCTCTGCTGTGACCTGGGAAAGCAGAAGATGGCCCATGCACCCACATGGGAGAACCAGAAGAAATCCCTGGCTTCGCATTGGCGCAGCTCTGGCCGTTGCGGCCATCTGGGGGTGAGCCAGTGGATGGAAGACCTCTCTTTCTCCCCCTCAAATAATACCACACGGGTGGGCGGAGTGTCACGCTCCAGCAGGGTCTGCGGTGGGGTTTCTGGTCCCCTCGCCCCAAGATGTCTGGCACAGGGCTGTAGCCAGACCTGGCCCTTGGACACTGAGGCCGTGTTCCCCCTGCTCCCAATCCCCCCCATCAATTGCAACTCCATGAAGGATCATGAGACATCAGAAAGTCTGACAGGGAAACAGGCAAAACCAATGCACAAGGCAACCTGGGAGAGAACAGAGGACGTCTGCCAGCACTCCCAGGGTAGAGAGATGCTGGGGCCACGAGACCACAGCGCAGTGAGAAAGGACAATCAGAAGCTCTCTGGAATGGAAGTGGAGAAACTCATTAGGGTCTGGAAAGTAAAGGTGAGAGGAGCAGCAGTCCATGTGGTCCCGGTCCCACACCTTGAAAAATGGCTCCAGAGAACAGGAAGACAGGTGGTGGTGGATAGAGGTCAACAGATCACAGAAACCACAAAGTAGGGTTCTCACATTGAACAGGCCTGATCAAGGCATTGTGTGCTCACATTGGAAAAATGAGAGACCACATGAGAAGAGGACCAGGCCCATTCCAGCCCAGCCAAAGCCAAGTGTAAAGAGGATCAGCCCTTCTCTACACCTACCCATCTGCCCTTCCTGAGGCGTGCTGGGAGGCCAGCTCACAAGAAGGAAGCAACACCTGGGCAGTGGGATGCTGATCCAGCACGAGAAGCCAGAGTCTCTAGTGTCAAGGTGACCAGCAATCCAGGGCTGTCCACGGAGGATACCAGAGGGTTCGGGGAAGCTGGCAACAGGACTCAGACGTGAGGTCAACACTGCGGCCTGCCACTGAAT